GAAAAATTGCATTTCTTCGAAGTCTGAGTACATCTGCCGGTGAGGCAGGGAACGGCAAACAAATATAATAAGCCAGTAAAACGGATGTACACGCAAAACTCATGTCCAGGTAAAAGCCAAATGTCCAAATGGACGAACTACCGGGACCTTCCGCCGGAATTCACAACCGGTGAAGGAAGAAGAAGAAGAAGTAAATAAAATAGCAACCCAGATCATTGTTAAACTCTTTCTTTCGGTTCCACGTAGAGCATCATTTGTGATAAAAGGTCAGTTAATGTTGTTTTATTTTGTTTGCCTGTGTTTGTATCTTGCTGTTGGTATAAAACTAGAACCACTGAATACAATTGTGGGACCTAGTTAGTATACATACTAGACACATGGCGAATCTTTTATTAAATATCCTACCCAGATGACGTCACAGGACAGTCCAACATTTCAGAGGGTGGTAAGATTGGGTTTCCCCGGCTTTCTGATGCTTTTAATGACCCCCCTAACATCTAGAACTGGCCCTAACTCCAACCTACCTATGTTCCTTGAGAGAGTGCAGCCTAGGTCCCATGACTGCATGCAGCCTATCTACTTATCTACCACTTATAATTTATATACACCCCCTGAAATATTAGACTGTCCAATACCTGTAGATTTCCCCTTTGGGGTAGGTTAATAATAAAGCACCCACATGGCTTTATGTCTAGGTGTAAATATATATTTACACACCACATATATATATTACTAGCTGTACCCGGCCACTCGTTGCTGTGGCATAGTTTGGCTAAATGGAAATGAAATAAAATAGAAATTGCACGTGTCTAATAGTTAATACAATCATTGTCTGCTCAGATATAAAGATAGTCTTTGATTCCCCCCCCCCCTCCCCCACAACTAAATCCACCTACTACCCTCTCCCTCATCAAAGGTTTTTGGAAAAGAAAGACAATGGAAATTGCACCTGTCTAATATAGTTAATGTCGCAATCAAATCATTCTCTGCACATTTATATAGAGATAGTCTGGTTTTCCAACTTTAGAACACGCACCATATAATTGTGTCTTTATATTAGTGGTCGTTAAAATGGTGCTATTAGCACAGTAACAAAAGTGGTTATTTGGTTATCACATGCTAAAGCTGTTTGTATTTTTATAGGAGACGTAAGTAAAGCTACTACTGTACTTGTAAATAACAAAGTAAGTCGTACAAAAATTAGAATAGTGAAGGTAGCGTTAGTAAAATATAAACAATTTAAGTAAGTAATAAGAACTTAAAAATCATGTGTAAAGCTCTTCAAGTTCTCTTAAATTTCAGTCATTACCCTCTCCCCTCCCCTCTTCCTCCGACTACTGCTCTCTCCCTCTTCGAAGGATTGAAAAATCATCACTGTACAGCTGGCGATATTCTTTTTGTTGTTACTGACATTGACATCCCTGTCCATCCGGACTAAATTGGGAGCAGGAATTGTAATAGGTAGTGAATGGGGCTAATGTAATATTTACTGCATCATCCTTCAAGTACCAGTACAACTACTACCATGACCACCACCACAGTAGCTAAAATAATGTCACTGCTATCTGTTTTACCATCGGAGTAGATAGGGAGTCGTGAGCCAGAAGATTTGGCGCCGCATGGCTAGTGCTGTCGCCACGGACTGGTCAGATAAGGATGTATGATTTCGCTCCACGACAGAAGTATGCCATAACCTTACCGGCGGTCTTCACATGAGAGCACTATGGTGTAACCGCCCAACCACAACTACTACTGCTGCTGCTACTTTGAGTGGGTAAAGCAGTTACTGTGACTTAAAGCTCTCTCAGTAATCAGTCCCCCCCCCCCCCCCCCCAAATTCACCGACTACTCTTTCCCTCATTGAAGTAGTTGAGAGGGGAAAAAAACCAATTGAAAAGCAATTAAAACAGGAAAAATACACCAGAATTAGGAAATGAACGCTATGGTAAACAGCACAGCTTGAAATTCCAACGCAAATGAAATAATTAAATCTAAATGAAAATAAATGGAAAGCTATGAAATTTCAGTGTAACCATGCAATCGAAAAGTTTAAAATGAAATCATAAGTATGTGAAATGGTCAAATTTAATTATCAACTGGTTTACCCACAAACCTGTCCTTGTTTTTTTTTGGTTTTTTTTTCTTAAAATATATATCATTAAGGGCCATATGGCTAGTGCTGTCGCCACGACAGTGCAGGTGAGGATTTTATTTTAGCCCTAAGTAAAAAAAAAAAAAAAAACTACTGCGGATTCGAACCCTGGTCTCCCTCTCAAGAGCCGAGTATTCTAACCATTCGACCAAGCAACCACTCGATTGGAATAACGAAAAGAGAACATAACTATTTTAGATGTGTGTCCCTACTGCAGTGTCCCGATTTTAACACAACTCAAAACAGCAGGCAATTGTTTTCTCATAGACAGATATTCCAAATATATTAATGAAACGGCACAACAAAAGAAATCGCACGTGTCTAACACGGTTAATGTCGCAGTCAATGTCTGCGCAGACGTCGAGATAGTCCCTGATGCCCCCCCCCCCTCTTTTTCCCTACCAATCCATCGGCTACTTTTCAACTCATCGAAGGATGTTTGAAAAAAAAACAGAAAATAGAAATCGTGTCTAATATAGTTATTGTGGCAATCATTGCCTGCACAGATATAGATATAGTCTTGTTTGCTTTACCACGACCTACTCTATGTATTAGAGGAGGTGTTGGCTGCACGGCGCATGCGCAATTACTAACGTGGCTATAATTAGAAATCACTAAAATTATAAATATTAGTTTTGAATATTATGGCTTAAATTGTGGTCACTTATCTCTAACAGTGACAGATTGAATTTCAAACCATGATGGTTCAACATCCGGTATCAAAACAAACATATCCTGAAAATTTCAGCTAAATCGGTTCAGTAATTTCCTAGTCTATAGGGGGCAAACATTGATTTTTATATATATATATATGTTATATATACATATCCTCGACAGTGATTTTCAAATGGCTCAAAGTCGCAAATGCTTTGCCCTGGGTTATTTCCATATTGTGTGATCTCTGTCCACAGACAGCTAGCCGCCTGCTGAAATCATCTCACACAAAACATAAATTTCAAAACCCAGTCGATGACCCCCTGGGTAAAATTTGCACCAGTGAACAGAACAACACGTCCATGAAAATAACCCATTACCTTCAGTGCGTGAGATAAAAGGCTTAGCCACTTCACCACATAGATCCCCTTTACAAATGGTTAGAAGATGTTGAGGTCAACCTTTACTAGAATATAGTTATAAAGAAGTGTGCAAGGATATGAATGGTACAGTTATTCAGAATGCCATGGACCTTGTTGCTTGGAAGGGGAGATCAGGAAGTGAACAATAATAACAATAAAAGCGACAGTAACTGCAAATAGACTAAGAGCTGAGTGCCTAATAGAATCACAATAAATTGATGAAATGGAAACAGTGGTCCTGAAATTCTGTGTTCTAATCTTTAAAGTTAAAGACTTACTTTTGTGTGTGTGTCTGTTATAGCGAGCAAGTCTTGCTAGTAACACTTGCCATTGCCATGATCTGTGAATCCCATGCCTCCTTTTTAGTATATTACAGAACTGTTGTCTGGAAAGCAGAAAAGTGCCAGTTTAACCACATAATTTGGATTTTTGCTGTGTACTCGTCTTTATTGAATGCGTTGATAAAGATGAATTCAATACAGAGCAACTCACCATGAATTCATTTTTTGGTCCAAAAATAATATAAATTTCTTGTGTTCCTCTCTTACAGATTTCTTACATTAACTCATTTACATTGTATTGCTAGTTTCCTTCATTATGTTCCATATTATAATTGTCTTTTAAAACCACTTTAAACATTATTTATTTAAATAAAAACATCTCACAAAAGAAATAGTTAAATTAGTTACAGGCCGGTAATTAAAGAGTTAAGGCATTTCATCATTTTCTTGATACAAGAAATATTTTCCAAAGTTAAACCTGACGTCGGGAGCGACAACAGCATAGGGATTTGTAAAGCTTAAATAAGGAAAAAAGCAAGAAAAAGACTGTTGGCCCATTATTAAATGCAGCCCAGCTCAGGACATTATATGTCAGAGAAGATTTTTGCGTCGAACTAAGAAACCAGTTTGAGGTGTTTAACCACCTACCAGAGACAGCAAATATTGAAGAAGAATGTGCACAGTCTAAAGATGCATTTTGCAGTGCATGACCAGAAAATACTCAGTATGAAGAAACATGTGAGAGAGGAATGATCCTCTAAAGAATCTTGGTCAAAAGTAGAAAAAAGAAAAATGCAAAAAGAGCAAATAAACCTCAAAGAGCATATTGGAAAAGATGGCTGCACAGAAAGCATATAATGGCAAACATAAATAAGTAAAGAAAAGCTTAGAGGAATACTTGGCAACTCAAAGCTGCCAAAGCAGAAAAAGCAGCAGATGATACTAGAACATTGTATAAAATAACAAAGGGTCTTAGTCGGAAACATGTTAACTTTAATAAAGGAAAGCTGAGAGACACAACAGGAGAAATAATCACAATGGAAAGAGGATAGGTTGACGGATAGAAAGAGTATTGTTTTAAAACCCCACCCTAGCCATTGTCGGGGCCCTAAAATAACCCAACCTAAGGTTGTACTAGGTTTTTAGGACCTGTCCCCGGGTGAAACTCATCCAACTGGTGGCACTTTGTGTCACCAGGTGTTTATGTCCTGTTGGTGTCTGTTAGAAAGAGGTGAAAAAATGCTTGCATGAAACTGACAGCTTAACAATTTTTACAAATAGAAGCTCAGCTAGGAGATAATGTTTTGGTTGTTAACAGATTATTTTATAACTGGAAAAAGACAGTTTTTAAAACACCTTTAAAAAAGTATACTTATCTATTTTTCCTGAAAACAAACATCTCTTAGTTTAACATGTCACTTTAGACTAAATAAGCTGATTTGAAGTACTGAAAATAGTGTATCGTCTCTTTTTGACAGTTCTGATTCTGACATGGAATTTCTGAAGGCCTTGGAAGAAGCCAAGAAGAATGGCATCAGTCAAGAACAGTTTATGAAAATCTGGGATGTGGAGATAAAACTGAAACAGCAGCAAGAAGAAGCTCGGCTGCTGGAACTCAAGCTTTCATGTGGGACAGTTCAGGTTTCAATCTTTTATCTTTTTATATTTGAAAATATAATTATTTTATGTGTACATATTAGGGCTGTACCGAATAGGGATTTTCACTATTCGGCCGAATACGAATAACGGGACCAACTATTCGGCCGAATACATATAGTGTAAAAAATATATCTAAAAAAACAAACAAAAAAAACACACATTCGTAATGTCAAATGTACGCTGAACTTTTACTTTACATAAAGTAGCACAGAATAGTCATCTTCTTCTTTAGCATTCTGAGCCCTTGAGGTTTACTGCTGCAGATATCACTCGTCTCCATTCATCTCTCTGGCTGGCCTTCTCTTCATAATTTGTGACACTAGTTGTTTACAGGTCTGGCTGGACATTATCTCTCAATCTTCTTTTTTGTCTGCCTCGTGGTCTACGCCCATTCCTCCCTCAGGTGTATACAGTTTTACTTCTCTGTCTTCTGACATTCTTTCAATATGTCTGAACCATTTTAGACTGTTAGCTCTCATGATGCCAATGATCAATGGTGATTCATACAGATTATGTGTTACATTGTTGCTTCTCACTCTTTATCATCTTTGATGGGTCCAAAGATTTGTCATAAGACTGTTTTCGAAAACCTGTAATCAGGCCTCATCTCTTTTATTTCTGCTTCAAGTTTCAGAGCCACATAAAACGACTGGTCTTATCAACATTTTATATTTTTTGATCTTGGTGTTGCGAGACAGACACTTTGACTTTAGCAGATGTTGAAGGTTATAGTAAACTTTATTTCTAGATTGTATTTCTTCTCTCAGCATGTTGGAGCAGTTGAAGTGTGCACCCAAGTACCTATATGTTTCCGTTCGTTTGATTTTCATATTATCGACTTGGATGTGGCCGTAGTTTTTTTCTTTCTATGTCTAGTTAGTATTTGTACATAATAGTAAACATTTAAAAACATATTATGTTTTGCATCCTTCAGTCAATCTGTGGTAACTAATAACTAGGAATAAAAGAATCCTAAGTATTATAAAAAGTAAGTAACTAAACTTGTAAATTGTCACTAACAGATTAGTTAATGCGTGAAAGCTGCATTAGCTTTCAACAAAACCAATAATTCTATGTTGTCAGTATTAAGGCCGTGTATGCAGAAGTGGGAGTGAGGTAACTACTATTCGTATTCGACCAGACCGCAACGATTCGGCCGAATACTGAATAGTCAATAGGTCTACTTTTTGACCCCGAAGCGAATATCTGGTACAGCCCTTGTACATATGTGTATACACACACACACACACGCAGACCATATTTGTGAGTGTACAATACACTTTTTTGGTCTCAGATAGGTTTTAAAATTAGGCTGCATTTTATACAATGGAGGTAAGCTCACATCCCCTGTTTCTTTTTTCCATAGTTGCCAACACTCTAGTTTATTTCCTTCCAAGACTTGTAATGCTCCGCGTTCAAGCGATAATGATGAAACCAATGAATGAGGCAGAGAGAAGAAAAGTTCTTTTAAGTTTTCGTGGTGCGTCTTAAACAAGGGAGCGTCTAAAATTTAACCGGTACATTTCAGAGGGGTAGAAAGAGGAGAGGATATAAAATAGAGAGAGAGAGACAGATGACAAGAATAATAGTCAAAGGATGTATAAAAAGATAAAAGGTAATCCTATAAGGGGAGTGTAGTAACAAGTCTACACCCCAGACGATCAGTAATAGTCAGTGAAGGTATGAAAGAGAGTATAGTAAAGTAGTATAAAGACTACATCAACTAAATAATAGTGCTACTCCTATACTCAACAAACTAACGATGGAATAAAAGAATAACAACTAATAATCATGTTTATTAAGAAACAGAATTACAAAGTTGCGTATCTCTTATTAGGTCAACAACTTCAAAACACAACATAATACACAAGATGTGTATACCAAGTTATAATATGAGTGAGCCCAATCGCTACTGACTTTATAAACCCTTCAGAATGGGTCATCTGGTAATCTTAGTTTCAGCTTCATAGAAAATGGGTCACCCCATAGTTTCTCTACTTCAGAATTACAACAGCCTACCATTCATTATATCTGATAGCAGAATCTACTCTGCTGAACAATAGACTAACGAATAACTCCTAGACTCTGTTTCTTTACTGTTTATCAGTATTAAGATACAAATGCCACAACCCTCAGCCTACCATCCAGATTCCTACTAAAATAACCAAATGCCATCTACACTGTTTAGCCAACCCAGTCTAATCATGACAGATACTGTCATGTCACCTGTTAGATATATTCAAACAATCTGTAAATTCACATTCCTAAGCAAATAAACGTGAACACAACATTAGAAATCGTATTTGACATTGCAACTGACCGCTAATCTTCACATGAACAGTTCTTACTACAACCACACATCCTTATGCACGTGTATACATCCATATCCATTAACCCCCACGTACTTCTCAAACCACACTTATTACGATGTATGCACATGCAACTATTTACTGATTCGACATGAATGTCCACCCCTTCCCCCCTTTACGACAACACTCTGGCTGCAGACCTGATCTGACCTTGTGTCCCCATCTCACTTCAACGTCTGATACTTCTTTCCTGTCCCCTTACAGGTAAAAAATTTGAACCCCCAAGCTTGACTAGGCCCGTTCAAGTTTAGTGTCCCTGGCTAGATGACTCTCACTTTCACTTTAACTTTTTATATCCATACTCTCCAGGTTTTCACATCTAATTGTTAAAGGCATCATGGCTGCATTATTTACTAAGGCATTATGTTCATACACATAATTTTCCCAATTTCCTTGATGATCTAGCAATGCTGTCTAGTTAAATAGCTCACACGTCATAGTTACTGGATATCATATCCACCACCATCATGTGCTGTGCTGGTTGTTACAAACATAACACAGAATACATATAATTATACATATAACTATTCTTCTGACAACGATGTTTGCTGATTTACCCAATCAAAACATTGTAGACGGTCAGGTACTTAAAAAAGTCACCCAGGTATCACCTAATTCATTCACAACACTGCCTGTGGGAGAGCGTGTACAGTTCAGAGGAGCAGATGGATCATCAGTCTGGTGAGATTTATGAAGCGGGGAGTAAAAAGGTTCTGGCAGATGCTTGAGGCTCAGAGGAATGGTAAGACGGACATTTAATCAGATGGGAACAGAGCACTTATGGGAATGCCCAGAGTGCTGTGATGTCGGTTCTTGAATCAGCCTAACTCAGTAATAAACTTCACTGGAACAAGAAATCAATATCAGGATAGATAGGGCAGCTACAACTGATGCTTGCACAGAATAGAGGGATTAAATGGTGCAATAGAATCACGGCTTTTGAACGCTGAAAGAGAACTAAACAATTTTTAGTGAAATGAGAGGCAAAAGATGCTGGAATTAAAGAGGACACGTTTAGAAAACCGAAAAAACTACTACTAGAAAGTGTTTACATGGAAACCCACAAGCGTATAGAAATAAAGCCATGCCAGAAAGAAAAGATACACACACACACATGCACGTACGCACACACACACATATGAAGAAGGGGAAATAGATAGCGAAGTTAAAAAGATGAGGAGGATATCCCTTTAGCTGCATGCACTAGGACAGGTCTAGACAACTTGGTCTGAGTTTATTAAAGGCCTGTTCTCTTTAGGGGATAAAAGGCAGAAGAAGAAGATGAATATTTATTATGTTTAAGTTATATTTCTAATTTGTTACTTCAGGATTCCGTCTTGGCCATGAAAAACCAGATGAAAAGTTTGCTACAGAAGCACGTGAAGGAGGTACAGCAGCAGATCAATGAGCTGAAACTTCAACTCCAGCATGATAACAAGGCCAACTTTGAAGAAATTACCAGACAGTTCAAAAGCCAAGGGGCCGCCACTGCTATGGTGATAAGAAGTGAACTTGAGAGTGTACTAGGTCACTACTATGGAAACAGAAACTTTGCTCAGCAAGCGCCATACTCTTGGGACAGTCTTCACATGGGCAAGGGTGAAGCCAGTGGAAGTGGATATCAGATGCATGATTCGCAGCAATGGAATCCAAGTCTAGATTACAGTCATTCTAGAGATCTGTCAGCTAATTCCGATCAGTACATGAATGGTGAATGTTTATTTCCTTCAGACAATGGTGCTGTCTTGTGTGTGAGGGGACTCGACGAACTAGTATCTAGCGGTAAGAGTACTGAAAGCCCAGTGTACATTCTAGATGAATCCAGAATTAAAGTCCAGCTGTCCATCTGGTTTAAAAGCAAAGGACACTTGAATGCCCAGTTGTTAGTGTGGGGTGATCAGCCATTGAGACTTGCCAGAGTTTTCACAATTACTGGATTCATTGAGAACAGAAATTCTGGCTCTTACTCCCCTCTTCTTGAAGGAAAGAGCCAACCTCTGAAAAAACTGAAACCTGACCCCAAAAAAATGGTTAATATTTCAGTTTGTCTGCAGACTAGCAAGGGATCTTTTGATAATGTTACTTTTGAGGAGCTGGAAAAAAGAAACTTTGTTATTGATGATTCATTAATCATTAAGTGGTTTGTCACATCAGAAGAAGCACAAGTAGAATAATTATTATATAACTACTTTGCAGTTTTGACAAGAATGTATGAGCAATGCCCATTTGTTTGCTTTATTTATGGGGATTCCCAGAGATTTTCTTATTCCCTGTTTGCATAGCTATTCTCACTTTCAGTTTCCTCTTACTCTATATGTCATTGCTTGTTGTCTGGTATACTCTTTATTAGCAGGCCAGTTAGATGACAACACTATTTCATCAGTTTTTAAATGAAATATAGTATAGCCTTTATTGCTAATTGTCTTTCTGATTTAATCATTTAAGATGTAATCAGTTGAAAGAGAAACATTGTATGTTTTAACTACTCTTTGAAATTTTAATTTTAGTTGGCTTCATTTATGTAAAATGTAGACCTATGACTTTGATGTACATGTTGGATATGTATTGGTCTCTGCCATACCACAGTTTGTTTTGTTAGCAGATGGTTGAGCTAAAATGTCCACTCACATTGCTTTCAGACACAAGTAATAAAAATATGAAAACCCTTGAGGAAGTAGATACAGTATAACTAACAAACAAACAAATATTGATCGACACTCACAGAAAGAAGCAAAAAGACACCAGGGCACACTAGACAATACGATCATCACTCTTGACTAGAGCTTTTGATCATAATGTTGTTTAGTATGTCCTTTTGTCTTTCTACTTCCTTCTGTGAGTGCTAATCGATGCATATCTATTTGTTTATTATGCATAAAGCTTTCAGGCATTGGTAAGAGAGTTGCACTATAAATTAAACTGGGTCCTAATCACATGATATTCCCCAAAACTGCGAGTCCGTATATCTGATGCGGCTAAACTACATTTTGGTTGATGGTAATGTCTGTGTCTTAAGATTTACAGACATGCTTGGTGATGCCGGGGTGTCAGGTTTGATCCCAGTTGTGGACTGTTTAGCACTGGATTGTCTTGTATTAGTTTCAAAACTGGTACAGAGAGCTGACCATTCAGGAAGCAATGGCAAACTTCTGAAAATACACAAATTTGTCTAGGAAAGCCACATCAGCCAAAATAATTGCTGGGTTGGTTCTGCGATGTCCTGTAAAGGATACACAACTAACTTTAACAGACTCCGTTTCCAAGCCTTCAGGCGTACTTGGCCTATAATGTTAGTCCTTATTTTTAGACAATGGACACCTGATGGTGATTTGGTCAACATCACACCAGCTACCTTAACTTCTCAGGACTTTACATGGTACCTTTTAAGGCTGGGACGACTTAGGAGCCATTGCCATTTCTGAAGGAAACAAAAAAAGTCCGGCTCTGTTAAGATTTGAACCCATGACCAAAAAATCTGCAGGCAAGAGTCTAGGCACTACACCATGGCGGCTGTGGAAATGGTATATACACATTATTATTATTTGTGTAAACACTGATGTTTGGGAGACCTAACTTGTTTGTTTAAATACATTAATTGCTATAATAAATGATTTGGGAGGTATTTTTCATTTTAAATCAATGTTTAGATAGAGCCATATCTAATCACCTTTTTAATTTGTTCATTATCTGAGTGTGTTTAATGTTTTTAGAATGGGTAGCAGACAGTTGCAATAATTCATTTGCAAATAATATTAGATTGTGATGGTTACAGAGAAAACTGTTTGGAGATCTTACAGTCCTGAATAAAAGTATTACCGTGGAACCTCAGGATATAAATGTACCTGGATATAAATTTTTGTGTCAGGAAACAAGGTTAGGCTTGCTAAAGTGTTTGCCCCAGAATACTAGGCGATGTGAGCTGAAGAGAAAAAAAAACTCTCAGCATTACTTGACAGCAATAACTTTTTAATGGATTAAGTCACAATTCTTGAAAGCCTGATGTCATGATACGGACGTTTGGCAGCGCATGGGCTGACACACGTTGTTGGTGATCATAAACTTTTGAAAGGTATGGCCACCTCCTACGCCAGTCGATATGGCACTGTAGCATTATGGTCGGAAGTTACCATGTTTTCTGCTGCCTGCAAAAACATAAGAAGCAGTGTCGTAAATTTTCCTAATTAACGAAATGAAAAAGAAAATTTTGGAAGAATTTACAATAATTCTAGTGGGAAATGGTTTGAAGATACATGTTTTTTTTTTTACCAAACGAGCTGTCATATTATCATCTTCAAGTGCCTTGCCAACTGACATGGGCAATGTATCAGTTCAGCTTGTCTGTGACACCCCTACATGCCATGACAAAAGGCTGTCAAGAATCTTGTCACGTTGTCTTCATCTGTATCTCCATCCAAAGACATGGAATGGATCAAATTTATATCTTGAGGTTCCAATGTAATTGTATCCTAATTTGGATGAACTCATATAGTACTCACCATGATGGCGACTCACCATGAGTTTGTCAGTTTCAACTGACATTGAATAGAATTCCTAAATCCTTATTGTAGTAGTTCCCAATTACAGGATGTTTGTAAAGACCCACTACATTTTCTGTTTAAAACAAATTTGCAAAATGAAGTAATGATGTCATCAAAACATGTGCTGTACAGTTGGTAGTGAAGCCCTATGCAGTCAATGACTGTCATCTCCTGGATTAATTCTTTGCACTCAAAACAGAATGGTGTTATTAACTAAAGAGTTTTTTGGGTTGAACAGGTTATTTTGAATAGCGGTCATTACATAGGGATGGTTGTAGAAGGTATTTGGCAATATAAAGAGAGGAGTTCAGTCATGTCTTGAAGCCTGTGGTGGATATTTTCAACACTAGTTGTAATACATTTTTTAATTTCTACTTTCCAGCTTACCCAAACTATTGTAGCTAATTTAGTGAATTTTTTTATATTGTTTCATGATGTCATGTACTTTGGTAGGGGTTTGAGCTGAAATCCTATAAAAAGATTCTCAGTATATCTTGGACAAAGAAGCGGAGAAATACTGACATCTTAAAAGATCTGAACATCAAGGAAAATTGGCCAATAAACAGCATCCTGTCTCAGAAGCTAAAATATTTTAATCATATCAAGTGCCACGACAGATTGGAAAAAATGAGAGCAGAAAGCATGGTACCAGGAAGGAGGGGCAGGGGCTGACCGACACGAAGATGGGCACAGAATATAAGTGACTCCTTGAGTGTGAAAGTGCATGAGGCGGGAGAACTGGCGAGAGACCAAGTTTCTTTCAGGCAGACCGTGATAAGAGCGACATTCTGCAAAGGACCTGCTGCATGATGATGATGACATATATGTCATGTTTCAAATATGTTCAGCATACAAAGTGTAGTAAGACACGCAGAGCTTTTTTAGAATCTGTTTGTTGTTGGAGCCTCTTAGGCCTACTGTACTAAATGTCTTTCAAGTTAATGATGTTTAGAAGTGATGTTACAGAGCAGAAGTAAAGAAGTAGACAGCAAGGAAATTCAAAGTAAAGAGCTTTCTATACATCTATGCAAGTCCTGTTGTGGATCATGGGGGGCCACATTATGGGGAAAACAAAAACAGACCGGCTGCTTCGCTAATAAGCATGTCATAAGAGTTGACTAATTGGAGGATTCCTTTGAAGTCTGAGTACATCAGCCTGAGAGGCAAGGAACCAACAGTCTGTATACAGATGTCAGATCTGTAAAACTGATGTACACACAATACAGGTTCTGGAACAAGTTTTAAAGTCCAGAGGTGGATGAACAACCAGAACTTTCTGCTGGAGTTTACACTCAGTGAAGAAAAAGAATATTTATGCAATGCACGTGCAATAAAAGTTATATTTTAACCACTTTTACGTTTACCATAATAGTCACAGATACCACCAGTAGGCATGATATAGTCAAAACATGGTCATACATGAAAGTTCTTCCAAAGTTAAATAAATTAGTTTTATTTCCTAATGTCATTCAGTTTTTTTTTCTTTTTCAAACCTGGAGCTGCAGCAGAGTTTATGGGAAGTTCATGCTGATCCCCTGGTAGTGCCCTAAGCACTCTGCAAAATATCAGTTGGGAAGACTTTGCCAATGTTTTTGAAAAGAGATACCGCAAGAGTTAATTACAATTGCTTCTGTCTCCCTTGCTTTTGAACAGTGTTATGTTGGCATCTCTCAATTCTTGGACACTGATTTTTCTGCTTGAATTTTGTGCAGCTCTGGAAGGGTAGCTTGCTTTCAGCATTTCAGAATCTCGGGTGGGATACTATCGTCACCAGGCTCCTTGCCTGAGGGAAGCCCCTCCTATGCTATGCCAATTTCTGTGATAGTAGGTTTCATGGTAGGCAGACCATTCAACTGCACACAGTCCTAAGTAGTTCTTAGCCCAACAATCCAGTGTGATCCTTTATGGCCAGTTTTATGTCTTTTTTTCTTTTTGACTGGTCCAGTAATAGCCTTTTTGATGCCATCATTCATTGTCCTTATGCTGCCAGTATTGGCTGCCATTTGATTTGATCTGCTCACTGAGTCTGATCCAGGAAACATTTGTTTCTATTTTTTGGCAGAATTTTTGTATGCTAATAGAGCTTTTTTCTTGTCTTTTATTGGCAGCAACTTTTTTCTGAACCTTCAAACCAATCTTGTGATTGGGTTTGTCTCTTGCTGAATATGGACATTACAGAAATGTACAGAGCAATTTTAGGTGCTTCCATCTGTTGCTTGCATCTCCATTTTATGGACCAGGTGGAGCTGTAGAAGTTTACAAATTCTCCCACTTTTGCTGGACTTCGTGTTTGGTCCATGTCAACGTGCGGCCATTCCTGGCATCTTTTATGGATGCAATCTTCTGGAAAGAATCTTCACTTTGCTGCATACCGGAGAATGGTTTGTGTCAAATCTGTGCTTTGATAGCTGCAGGTAACCTTGAAAAGGCAAAGGCATTATGTTCACTGAGAATAACATTGAGATGGTTCCAGTGCTTTGATCTGTGGTGTCTCCAAGAGATCTTTGTTGGGACTTCACATTAAATTAGGAGTTTAGGATGCAGAGGTTGTAGAAAGGCAGAGTTCGAGCGGACGCTGCCCATTTTCATTCATTTTCCCACTCTGAAGTGTACCAGACAAGATGGCTTCACTCTTGCATTGAAGTCCTCTTGAATGAATAGGGTTCCTTGTTTGGGACCTCACTGCCACACTAAGTTTCTCGCAGAACCTGTCTTTTGAGTCAAAAGAAGACAGGGTTGGTGCATAAGCACTTACACGGGTTGCTCGTTCTGCTGTTTTTTGCCACTGAAGGTGGTGTGTCAGTTCTAGGCAAATGGTTCTTGATCGCAAAGCCTACGCCTTGTTCCCTGGGCACCGAAGATGGGTTTTCCCCTACAAAAACTATTTCACAACCACACGTATTTATGGAATTACAAATGACTCTTCATTACAACCACACATTTATGGAATTACAAATGACTCTTTATTATAACCACACATATTTATGGAATTACAAATGACTCTTTATTACAACCACACAAATTTATGGAATTACAAATGACTGCGTAACAACCACCCAATTGTTTTGAAGAACAAACGACTCTGTTACAACCACATATATTTATTAAATGACAAATGGCTTTTCATTATAATGACACATTTATGTGCAATTACCAATCACTCTTCATTACAACCTCTCATATTTATAAAATTATACATATTTCTATTTCATCCACATATGTTTATGACATTTTCTGTCCATATCTATCAGTAAATCAGCGAGACTACATACAAGCATTGTGTATTACAATTACGTTTATATTTTGATAGACAGCTAACCCCTAAGCTAAGTCAGTGTATATTGCCTTTTTATTTTTGTATTTTAGTTTGAAAAAAGGAGGGGGGGGGAAGCTGTCTATGTTTTATGCTGATACAAGTTTTCTTATGGCAACGCTCATTGTGTCTTTCATAATTTTGCCTTATTGGTAAGCTAATTCGTTCCCTGATGTGATGTTGACCACATCACCCACCACGTTCTGATTTTTCTATAAATGTCTAGCCCTATATGCCCAATAGGCATGAAAGCGTGGAAAAGAGTCCCTTACCTTTTTAATTAGTGCTTCTTGTCTGCGTTATCTCCTATGCTGCACCCCTCCCTTTTCCGTACCAGTTATGTGGGAAGAAGCATGGACCGGGCAGATATCGTCAACGCTATACGGAGTGGACTAGTAGATAATAACGAATCTCTGACGCTAACACGATTGCGTGACATGGGAGTAAAGTACGTCTATGCCGCCTTTGAGGCTGAGGTGGGAGACATTATAACCACTTCTCATGGGAACAGTTAGTAGAAGTACCTTGGAGTGACTTCTGAGCACGCACGGGAATGCCCAATGTGCAGTGACGTCGATTGCGATAATATAACATAAGAACATAATTAGTTATGGCATTTAACTCTTTCAGTGCCAAGGAGCTCACCCTACGTTCACTAGTTACACTAAATGTGGTACACATTTATTTAATTGTCCTACCCCATTCTCTGATATATTTACCCCTTTTTTTCAGTTTATTTTTTACTTTCTCTTCCATAGCTGTATTTCTTCAGCTCTGTGAGACCAAAAATCTGTTGCCCAACAACTTTAGCATAGACAGTGTTGAATCGAACACTATATGCGACTGAAAGAGTTCGGCACTGGCTTTCCCGTTAGTTCCATGTCTGCTTGCCAAATTGAAATTCTGGCTTCCCATGAACATTTTCAATGAAAGACACGAAAGGAGGAGCTGGCAATTCGTTGATGGTTGAATACACAGCACACATCTTCAAGGCACAAGGCGAGTTCGTCCAGGCATATCGAAGCCCTAAAATCTGCTGCCCTTCACTGCACACTGCTGCCTGTAGTGTCACCTGAATAGAATGGATGGATACAATATTACAAATTTTATTACAAAGTAACAGAGTGGTATGTCTGACTCACGAGGAGAACTTATTGCCCAAATCAGAAAGAGACAAATCTAAATTCGTTGGTCAGGGGATGAAAAGGAGAAAACTGGAGTACATCGTGACAGTAGGAAAGTGTGGGAGGAGGAGATGCAGAGGGAGACCGAGAGAACAGATGCTGGACATTTTGACATCATTGCATGGAGGATCATCTGTATCAGAGTTGACTGAAAGTGCACGAGACAGAAGGTTGTGGATAAGACATGACTACCAATGCCACACGGCATGGACTTGTTGAAGAAGATGACTGGTCCCGAATACCGCACTCAGCCGTTAGACCATATTTATGGCCGGACTATATTGCGGCCTCTGGAAAGAGGGGCTTCAAAATAACTAAAAATGGCATGCCTCAAGGAGATGACTATCTAATATACGGGCCACTTGAAAAAAAAAAAAACTCTATATGTATAATTATTGTACAATTTATGCAGTATTAAATAGCAAACACATAGATACACATAAATATTGAAAATAAATATCAGAGTACAAAAGAAAAGAGCCTGTTTCATAAAAAGCTCAAAGAGTAAAAAGGATAATGTTGATTAAATTAGTTCTACATCTCTGATACATATATTGTTTCGCCTCATGATGTCAACAGTCCAAAATCTCAATTCTTGGTCTCCCTCTGCTTCTCTTCCTTTTACCGCTGCAACGACGTACTCCAGTTTCTCCTTTTCATGATATAACTGTAGAAAATAGATTTGATTTAGTAATTAGTTCATTTTGCGAAGCCTCTTCGTTATACTTAACATTTATCAGGATTTTTCATTATGTGTTTGACTCTCCATGATTGGCTTCGCTGGTAACGACGGACTCAGTAAAAGTTGTCAGAACTGTTTCATACCCCAACTGACAAAGAATATTTGAAAGCTGTGGCGACATTATGAAGATGACATCTAATTCGACTGATATTTTTACATGCTAGAACAATTGACGGACGACCTACCTGTGTGGAAGTATTGGATATAATTACAGTTGGTTCCCACGAGGTAACTGTAGATTTGCTTCCTGAGGTACACATTAGCTGTGAAGAAGAAAGAAACAGAGGCAGCACTCACGCACCAGAACCAGCATACATTACCATTATTTGTTGATACTTAGCATCATCAGTATGCATGCTGGGTGACACCAAGAGGTCTCCTTGGTGAAAGGGTTATATCGCTAGCCTTGTGGTCTGAAGGTTCTAGGTTCATGAGTTCAAACGTACTTCCTTTCGCCAGTGCAAATGTTTCGGGGACGCTTCGGGGTCGTGGCGGAAGCTACATCGTATATGCTTTAGGTAAGATCAAGCCCTGCTGATAAATCCTGGTGTAACAAAAACGATCGTTTCTAACCTACATTTGTAAGATGCATCATCACATCGAATATTCTTTGTCCAATCAGCACCCAATAATGATAACAATAATAATTGTAACGAACTTAGTGATGATTTGTGAAATACCGTTTTTACCTGGGCTTTTTTATGTTCAAATTATTTGATAAAGCTTCCATCTACTGTCTAAACTACACTGACAGATTTATAATGAATAAAACACCATTGCTGGGACCACAGTTCTTTTCGTGTTAACTCAGTTAGGGTTATGATTTATGATTTGGGTTATATTCAAGGCACTCCTGACACGTCCATAGGTGCTCAGTTACCCCCTTTAACATACACATCAGCGTCCCGCGGTGGGTAGTCCCAGTCCTATGTTGGTTGACAAGACTTTTCGTGCGTCCGGTGTGCTTCTCGTGCCTGGCTGTGCCGTTCTTTACTCCAAATTCTTGCACTTTTAGCAAAGATGTGGATGTGCTGCTCCCAAAATCCTCCGAACGTTCTTCCTCTTTAATGGCGTTAACAATGTCGGCATGATACATGGGCCGGTCCTCTGTAACTAAAGCAGAGCCAGCTAATCTGTCGACTCTTTCATTGCTAACAACACCCGCATACCCTAGAACAAAGATGAAGGTAACATTGGCGTTTTGCATTGACCAGAACCACTGTCTGCTTGTAAAGCCCACCTCGACCCGTTGGATCATACTCATGGAATCACTCAGCACACACACATTGGGGCCCTAGAACCCACACCGGGACAAATGGTTTACAACAAACACAAACTTGAAACGATAACTTCTGTATGTTGGGGGAGGGGGGGGGGGGGGTGTGAGAAAAAAAAACAGGGGTGAGGGTATTAACCTTCTACAAATATATAGGTAGGGAGTGCTGATCCACTCTATCATAGTTTTTTTTTTTTTAGTCTGTGGCTGAGTGACTTAAGGTTCCGGCTGTTTGTAGACCACTGACTTGAGAATGGAGGCGCTAACAACTGTGAATTATTGTAAACAGTATTTTTTATTTAACGAATCAACATCATAGCACACGGGTGCAACCTAAAAGTGCTCCATTCTACTTCTAACTCAAGCCTGAGTCTGAAGAATCTCAGTGCAGTGCACGAACTCCGTTAAACCGGGGAGGATCCTAAAATACTTTTGGTAGATTTCTAACTATACATTTTGCCCCGGAAGCGCTGTCAGGCTACTCTTTTTCAATTTCCAACTGCTAACGTTTTAAATGCGCAACAATACACACGGGCATCCAATCTTACTACCCAGAGACCAGGGGAAATTACTAGCAGTCCACGTAAAAATCCTTTTAATATACTCTTCGCAAAACTTTCAATAGCATTCTCGCCCAAAAGCTGAGGCATTGTGGACATGTCAAGCGTCCCGTGATCTAGAGAGGACAATGGATGGTGCAGTTTCCGAAAAACGAGGCAGAGGCCGACCTCCTTAAATCGGATAGAGGACATGGGAGATGCGCTTGCTACGAAAGCACGCAGGGCTGGTTAATTAGCTAGGAAAAAAAAAGACATTCAGTTCAGCCATGAAGTGAATAATGTTCTACAAAGGACTTGCTGTTCGATGTTTTTCATTCAAATCAATGCAGTTAAATATAATAAAATATCTTCTTTAAAGTAAATTAAAATAAAACACAGTCATCGTGTTAAACAAAGATAAATGTGTGTGTGTGTGTATATATATATATATATATGGGTGTGTCTTCATTATGTAAAATACAGATAAATGTGTAAGATATACCTACTGCAGTAATTGAGGACCTTTTAATACAAAATGACGCCATACATAGATTTTAGACTAACGTACCTCTGTGGGTTCCTAGCTCCAATTTTTGTGAGTAAGGGGGGGATGCAGGGTGAGGGAGGGGTGCTGGATTAGGGAGGGGGTGCTGGGTGAGGGAGGGGGTGCTGGGTTAGGGAGGGGGTGCTGGGTGAGGAAGGGGTGCTGGGTGAGGGAAGGGGTTGCTGGGTGAGGGAGGAGGTGCTGTGTGAGGAAAGGGGTGCTGGGTGAATGAGGGGGTGCTGTGTGAGGGAGTTGATTTGCTAATAAAATTGTTAAAAACTGCTTCACGTGAGGTGCTCACATCAACAAGAAAACATACTTCAAACCCTTCAGAGCTCCGTACATGCAGCCGCCACTGAGTCCCATAATCAACAACCAGCGATGAATTCATTCCTAGCCGGGCCCACACAGGAAAAGGTCCCTGGAAGACTTCTTGCTTGTTGTAAGCCACTGCCAGTCCACTTAGTGCTAGCCTGGATCCTATTTCTAGCTTGTGTCTGGGATGTATCCTGAGAACCAGACAGCAGAATAAATGTTCATGTCTAGTCGCTTGATAGGGGTTGCTGTCATTTCATTCGTTTGTGCGTTGAGTTAACCTAATTATTTCAGTATTAAGCAACTCAATATGCGAATATACTTATATATATATATATATAAATATATATATATATATATATATATATATTATATATATATATATATATATATATATACCTTTAATATATACATACATATAAACCTTTAACATACACACACACACACATATATATATATATATATATATATATATATATATTATATATATATATATATACAAACCTTTAACATATATATATATATATTAGGGCTGTACCGAATGGTGATTTTCACTATTCGGCCGAATACGAATAGCAGGACCACCCATTCGGCCGAATACGAATAGTGTATCATCATCATCAGGTGCCTTGCCGACTGGCGTGGGCGATTATGCCTCCCACAATCTGCGATCTCCTGCAGCAGGTATTAGTACGTGTGCTGACACACCTCCATGCCATGCAACAAGACTGTCAAGAAACTTCTCTCGTTGTCTTCCTCTATCCCTCATTCCACAGATCTTTCCAGTGGTCACCACATGTTCCATTTTCCCTCTTATCATAACATACCGAATAGTTATTAGGTCCACTATTCGGCCCCGAAACGAATAAGAAAGGAATATTCGGTACAGCCCTGATATATATACACCTCTAACATATTATGCCTTAATTTATTTATTGGTGCATTAACCCATTCTAACCCAGTTTATAATCTAAGTAATTTGGCCCTACTGCGCTGTTTTATTTGAACCCGGTCAGATCTAGAGATGTCCTCACTATGTAATAACTAATTAGGATACGAGTTAAAGTAAGTCTTTTATATGACTGAAAGAATAAATACAAATTATGACTGGATCGATCAGCGAGTTGAAAGAAAAAGACGCGCACATAAACAACTGAAGGTTTTGACCAAAATCTTTATCGGAGAACAAAACAATAGGATACCTAAGCGACAGTCACAACTGGGAGAGCCAAGCAGTGAAATAATCAGAACAGATATGCGATGAATCAGAACAAAAGGGGTTGGTCTGATCAGATGCATAAATAAAAGAATGAGACAAGGAAAGACATTTGCTAAAACAATTTTTGAAAATATAAAGATTAAAATGCATGTGACATAATTTTTGTTTTGTTTTGTAATCTGGTAATCTAAATTTCATAACAAAAGGGTCACAGCCACAGTTTCTATTCCCCTGTGCCAAGGACTAAACACACATAATGTCCATCACTGTCCATTTTGGAAAAACCGACACAGTAATCAGTCTCTCCATATCCACTAGCACACATATGCATTAAAAGCATAAGGCAGACAACACAAGTGATAATACAAACAGTCCGACATTAGAAATGCAGTTCATCATTGTCAGTAGCAGCAGTTACAAACAAATCAGCAGTTGCACACGCGATCAGTTGATCGCATAGGGCACCACCAATTATGTGGCGACAGGCCACTCGCCATTTCTGAATCCACGGTTCACATCACGTTGGTCACAGTCGAAAAACATTCCAAATGAAATCCGCAGCTCACAGTGTCGCACCATGCACTCAACTCAGTAGCTGGGGGACAGAACGCTAACTTTTCAGTCTACAAATGGAGGACAATGCAACGGCCGCTGTTTGTCAGAAGCACAGAATTAGCCTTAAATAAAACAGTGACCGTACCTAACGTCCATCTTTACAATTTGTATGTGTAATTGTTCTTGTAGCCAATGCAACATTATTTCTAAATCACAACTTACACCAAACAAATACACGAAAGTAAAGACGCCTTCACTACAAAAAGTGGAGTAGTCTCTAGATTATAGAGTAGGCCAATAAGATCTGGAATAAGCAGTCGTGGACTCATATAAGGACGTTCGACGTACCAAGCTAAAAACAAATCCATCTTGTGGCTTGAAGGCATTGATACGAGAGTCGCGTAATGACAACTATTGAGATTTCTTTCTTTCGTTTGACCATATTCTCCCTTTATCCTCTTCTTCTTGGTCAATCCCAACTCTTGATGTTTTTACTTTCATCCCTGGATTCATTCTCATTAAAAAGCCCAACCATTTCAGACTTTGCTTTTCAGTGAATTTAATTCTAGGTTTTGTTCCAACAGTTTGTGTAATTTCTTCGTTTCTCACACGATCTATTCTAGTTTTGTTCAGACATTTAATTTATTGAGACTGCAAGATGGGACCACAGTAGAAACGTCATGCGCCCCCGGACGACTCTCAACTAATTTTAGAACCGAGTAGCAAGCACTTTTTGATGCCATATAAGTGCTTAAGGAAAGACAAATTAAAAACAGCATAATTGTTTTCCTTTGTGGCTGCATTTCAGTCCCCCAGGCGACTCAGAAGAATCCACGTGACAACAGGGAGAGAGAACTGACTTGCCAGCTAAACAGACTCTCAGAAAACAATCAAATCGTTCTCCAATGGATCCCGGCTCACTGCGGCATACCAGGAAATGAGTTAGCAGACAGACTTGCAAAAAAACAAAAAAACAACAACACACCCATTCATTGTCATTACCAGAAATCAAAACACTCGTCAAGGAAAAATAGAAGGAATTCTGGAAATAACAAACTGACAGTAAACATCCACAAGACCCTCATCGTCAGACTCAACAGAAAGCAAAATACAATTTTCTGTCTACGAACAGGACACTGCAGGCTCAACAAACCACATACATCATAAAAGATTGTACTGTCTCCAATGTGAGTGTCAGACAGGACCACAAACACCTGAGCACATTCTGCAAACCTGCTCACTCTACCTAAAAGGTCCGACAATTAATTAATGAGATTAATTCGATTAAAATTGAAATAATCAACAGTTAAAGAAATAAACTGGTTTTTATTCAAAGTAAGCATCTTGGTCATTGATTCAGCGAGTGGCACGATCTAACAAACACTGGAACGACCACTGTAGTTCTTCTATTGTTATAGCATTTAAAGTCGATGTTACGGCCCTTTGGATGCCATGAATATTGTTAAAGAAGAGTCTTTTCAATGGCAACTTTAATGTTTGGAAATAGAAAATATTCACAGGAAGACAAATCCGGGAAATAGGGTGGATGGTTAAGAACACGGATCTTTTTTTTTTTTTAAAAACGGGGGGGGGGGGGGCAACAATTCCTGTACAACTAACGCCCTTTAGGCAGGTGCATTGTCATGAAGAAGAAAAAAAATTGTCAGGGTTTGAATACAACCCGACAAGCAACTTTTTTCGCCTTAATCTTGCACTAAAATTTTACGAATAGTCTTTGTATTAACACCATATTCATCTACCATCAACTTCACACTCAAATAACGATATTTTTGTATCCGTTCTCAGAATTTTGCAATGAGTTCCTCATTAGAAACAGAAATTTGTCGTCCAGGTCTAGTTGCATTAGTAATCATTTCTACACCACTTTTGATTCGTGAATACCAGCTGAAAATCTGTGCAAAAGATAAACAATTATCCCCATAAAATTGTCGCGTCATTTCATCTGTCACAATGGCGCTTTTTCTGAGTTTTAAACAGAATTTAATGTTAGCTTTTTTGCTCCATGCAGATTACATAACAATGCACCTCTGACTAGGTTAACAAAATGGCGGCTTAATTGTTGTCTCCTTATCGGGCGGCGATGAAATGTTGCCAGATCATAGACGAAAGCGGCCTTTTTTGGATTCCATGCTTTGATTCATAGATGGCATTTTTGTCTTAGCCATAATAAAATCAGTCTCATTACTTAATTATCTGACCTTGTACAACTTTGAGACACCTGGCCTCAAAAGTGTGCAGAGATTCAACATCAAGAATTGCATTTCAAAGTGGACATACTAAAGCACAGTTTTAATAATCAAGTAGCATAATTGAACAGAACAAACAGGCAATCATAATAAATATATCACAACTGGACACAACACAAGAAGAGTTTGTGACTGCGAAACCACCTCTCCGACACCCAACACGTCGAATCGAATTAAAGTATGGTTTTTAATTACCAACAGTATATTCCAAACAAAAGGTTAAAATGTTTAAGAAGATTTACTTCATAGCACCGGGTTTAATCCCATATGGCTGAGTAACATTCCGTAGAAAGGCTAGCTGCTTGCTGAGAGCGTCGCACAAAGCACGAGCTTAGTAGCTCCAGCATCTGTTCCTATGGAGCGAACGGCTTGACCAGTCACCACGGAAATCTATTGCACTGAATAAAACAACGGTGTAATTTATAATTAAATTGACTGTTCACGTAATTAATTAATAACAGCATATCTGATACACACGGTCCTCTGGGCGCCTCAAAATCGGGAAGATCCAACGCTGTTGCCATGAATACATTGACCAGTCTCTCATTTGGGACATAACCATAGTCAGCAGTTTGATGCCAGCGGATGTCAGGGAAGCCGGGGTCATAGGGCGGCATGCTTGGTGCCAGCTGGAACAAGTCAATTAGTTACAACTGTTTGACATTCGTCATAATTTCAGTTAACAAATCTATCTGAATAATTATAAACTATGCTGTAATTTTTAAATGGCCGTTAGTCTTGACTGGCAACTGGTTAAGGATGGAAACACCAACAGGCGGACAAAGTACTGATCTTCTGATCGTGCAGTTTTGGTTTACTCTATCTCACACATGTTAGTGTTAACCTATCCATTCGAGTAAACAAGACGGATCGCGAAAGGAATAACGCTGCATGGGCAACATCTGGTCTTTGTAATGCTGTCAAGACTTAGTGCTATAGAATAATTCCCATGCCGTCCTATAGAACAATATAACAATGTGTTTTGAGAAGATTAGGGTTCCAACGACGACAGTGAGGGTGAAAGGTGCCGAGAGTGTTCCAGGCAGCAATCAGTGGTGTCAGTGACATGAAAATGGTTTTTCTACTCGCTCAGACGAGGGCTGTAAAGCTGATTGTGCATGTAAGGCAGCAATGTAAATACCATCTTCGAGTGGAGGACACAGTGTGATGCAACGAATTAGCCTCTTTGAATTTCTGGCAGCTCAAACATCGTCTTTGACAATTAAAAAAAAAAAAAAAAAAAAACAGTGTGAGAAGATATTTTATTTGACATATAAATGTGGTACAACAACCTTTTATGACTGGACACAGTGTGGCACAGCACTACAGTATATGACTGGACACAGTGAGGTACACAACAACAATCCGCTTTGATTGGATATAGTGGGGTACACACAATAACTTCTTTGTTATGTTATCACAGTCAACGTCTATGCACATTAGTCATCTCCTTATTCCTCAGCTGCAACAGCCACTCCAAGGTATCTCTATAAATTGTTTCCATGAGGAGTTGGTTATAGTATCTCCTGCCTTTACTTAGAAGACAGCATAGACGTGCTTCACCAAGCTCAACTCTAAGGTCACGCAGTCGTGTTAGTGTCAGAGGCTCACCATTTTCCCGCAACCTAGTCCGTTCAGCGCTGATGGTATGAGCTCTGTCGTCCATGCTTCTTCCTCTTTGCAATAGTGCCTTACTTGCCAGCTGGTCAGCTCTTTCATTATAATTTACTGTTACGTGCCCAAGTGTGAAGATCCAGATGAGGGGAGATTATCTGCGACTGTCGAATGCTTTCTATCCATTCTGAGCGTAGGCCATCTGTGGCGATTTTCCGAAGCGTGTTCATTGAGTCTTAAACGATTACCGCATGTGTGGCCCCTTGTTCTCCTACCCATACTAGTGCTCTGGAAGCAGCAGTTATCACCATAGTCATGTCGAATCTTTACCCGTGTTAACCCAGATGAGCAGATCACAAAAATAGTTGACCTGAACAAATCCGAATGGAAATATGTTGTTTGTCTCTCCCGATGAAGCCTTGTTAAACTGCAGCCTCCAGTCATCAATCATAGCAGGGAAGGAACAGTTGTAATTGTTCTTCTTGGTATCTTCGTGGGAATCCTGTTCACCTGTGTAAGACAACAGTAAAAAGTCCTCATTATACAACTGGAACATCAAGCATATTGTACCACGGCCATTTTGTTTAATAGAGTAATTGGCACGTAATGCATGCCTTCATGTATTTGGTGCAGATATTGACTAACGATTCATGTTATTCCGAGTGGGTTCTGGGTGCCCACTCGTTTTTTTTTTTTTTTTTTTTGGAATGGATAACAATAGAGCCACTGCCCAGCTTTTCTAGCTAATCGTAAAATGCGACTAACTGTTTGCTGAAATTGGATGTGTTGAGCAGAAAGGTGCAGATACTAAGAATTCTCAAGAGTTTTATAAATCCTTTCCTGGTATACAGAAGTGAATTAGGACAGTTGGCCGATTAGTAAACAACGTGGAAGCAGTAGAGAAGTGATTTGACAGACGAATGATAAGAGCATAAAATCGATAGATGTTTCGAGGACTAAATGCCTACACCAGACAGACACTGTCTTTGGTCATATCATGCGCCAATAATCTCATTCGACCTAATTCCATTTCTTATTTGTTATGTGAAGAGACATTGAACCATTTACCTTGACTCTACTGGCCCCCAAAACTCCTAGCCTAACAGTCCGACACGACTCCATCTGAAATAATGACTTACATAACAATACAACACGATGCTGTTAGGCATCTCTACTTGGGAGGCGCTCCCTACAAACTACCCATTCCTTTTTTCCCTTACATAAATCCTAAAATAAAGCCATTAGAGGCGCCAAATACTAAAAAAGCTAATCAAAACGCACTCCTGTTACTACCTGTATTGAGCACAGGCTCTCAAACCACTCGCTCCAAGTCGTCCTCTCTCTTTTATTATTGCCTGCAGCTCACTCCAAGTCCTCCGTCTTTTTCTTTTACTTCCAGACGCCACAGAGCATTGAATACGTTTTAGTCTAACTTTGCACAGGACATCGTGTGTGTGTGTAGTAATTAATGTGCAGTCTGATTAGCTGGTTACAGCTGCCTCTCTAGGCGGTGAACTGTATTATGCTAAATTAGACGCTGTGAAGACTATCTAGGATCGAGTGAATTCAACATAACAGACACAGCATCCATATATGGAGGGACAGATTATAGGGAGTGAGCGGATGGTCTGGACGCGTTTTTACTCCCAGGGAAAAAGGGCAAAGTGTCAATCAGGTTGCAGCTATTTTTCATTCAATCATCTGTCATTCTGTCATTCATTCATTCTGTCACTCATTCTAACCTTGATACCAGATGACCCCAGAGATTGTCATTCCAAGAAGAGGATGAACCATGGCATTCCACAAAACAGAATTGTCCGTGTTTCTAAGTGAATCTGGTGGAGACACTAGCTGCTCAGGATCTGGCCTGCTGGATACAAAATATAGACCACAACAATTTAATTTTACCTGTTCTCACAGAGAATATGAAAATAAAAATGGCAGACCAGAGCATGTATACATCAGAGAGCTGAATGGTCGTTAAGCACGAGGCAGATCAAAAGACGATAGAGAGATAATATTCAGACAGACCAACAAACACTTGGCGTCACCATCTGCAAAGAGAAAGTCAACCAGAGCGAATTAATGGTGATATCTGCAGCAATAAACCTCAAGGGTTCGGAATGCTGAAGAAGAAAAAGAACTAGTTATAGAGAAGCCGCATTAGAGGTATACATCTAACTTCTGTCCGATACATCTAGTCCACGCTAACCAGTCTTATTTTTCTTCATCGTCCTCTTCTTCTGCCTTTTATGCCCAAATAGAGCTCATGCCCTCGATCAATTTACACCAGGCAGTTCTATCCTTCGCTATTGAACGCTGCTTACCCTATGCCCTACCGATCTTTTCAAATTCTTCATTCTCTAGCTCCCTTCTCAAAGTACGTTTTTTTCCTCACATTCATCAGTGCTTTAAAATACTGCCACCATTATCTCTCTCCTTATTTTTTTTTCTCTTTCTCTGTCTCACATGCTTACTCAACTCTCTCTCTCTCTCTCTCTCACCCCCACACACACACACTTTCTCTCTCTTATACACATACACATATAGGCAGCGGTCAAGGGGCTATCACACACAAGACACACTTCTAACCTCCATGTGGCAGTGCCCACTTCACATTTGGCAAGAGCCTCGCCAGATGACCAGGCTGCTACTGGACTTCCACCGAGGTACGATCCAACTAATCCTATAGGATATCCAAGAACCGCATGTATAGCTTTGCCATAGAGCCAGCACACCGCAGAGAAATCAGAAACCCCTACTGGTAAAAGTGAGAAAAGAAATGCACACATATCTCGTAAATAATCAAAGAAGTCAGCAACGGTATCTGGTCTTCTGGTCGATAACAAGAAGTCAACCACAGCGTTTGGCACAAAGTGGAAAAATCAGCCACACGCTATGGTGATCATCAAATAGAAAAAAGCGAAGGCATCAGGTCAATAGTTATCAACCTGTGTCCTTTTTTTTCACAGTGACGGTTATCTATACAGAGCATACTGATATTTTTTTGAAAATATTATTGGTAGGCGTTGATATCCCAATTGTTACTTGTTATGTCTGTCGACATCCTGGCTCATCGGTCTCACCGATTTGTACTCCGTCACCCAGGACAGCAGCCATCTCAGTGTCTCTATGTTCACCGTACCCAGTAGGAGTTTTATTGGCATATATTCTTTCTGTGCCCCGCAGCCGGTTTCTGCATGTGTTCAAGTTAGTTGCGTCTGCGTGAGTTCAAGTTAGTTGCGTCTGCATGAGTTCACGTTAGTTGCGTCTGCATGAGCTAAAGTTAGTTGCGTATTCTTTACTGGACGTTGCAGAACCAATCCCAGCATTTTTTGGCTGTTGTGGTATTTTAAGGCAAATTTTACTTTCAGTAGTTCGTCATTGCCCCTGAACGGCCAGCTGTCGATACCACCGTCGAAACTAACGACAAGACAAATCGTCCGCAGCTAGGATGGAACCCGGCTCCCCGGTATTACGAAGCGCGCTCGCAACGCCTAAGCCACAGACGCCGACTCGGCACGAGTATCCGTATTTAATACCAATTTCCAACAGGCGGTTTCATAGTATCTGGCTCTCCCGATTCTCTTACGAATTAATTGTTGAATCTGTATCCCATATGGCCCACTTTCTATTTTTAAAGTGGCTACGTCTACTGCCGAAAGATTCGCATACATAGCGAGCCTCAGCAATGATCCCCAGGGTTCTCTAAAACATTTGCAATCGGCAACCGAACAATGCAACCGGGATACGAACACATGACCTTTAAAGCGCGAGGAAAAAGTCTTAAAATGGCGTATCTACTCAGCCGCAGAGATCTTCGTCATCACTTTCTGTGTCAGTTAGTGCAAGCTTTCGTATTTCTTTTAAACTTCTTGATCTTGTTCTGTCCGTTTTCTGCATAATCGAGCATAGACCCTCAACCAACCGACACCAAATCATCGTATCCTTAACTACCCTTTGCAGGTCCCTGCATGTCCTCCCCACCTTTTCACCTCAATCTCTATTTCTCTGGCCCCTGCCTCCCTTCGCCCTCCCCCGCCTCAATTCATTTGACCCTAACTGTCAAGTTAGCAAGGGCATCACACTTGTTAGTCATATTTTTTTTTAATCACCAAAAAGGGGATTAACGTTTTTCTTCTTCTAAGTGATATCCCGCCGACCACAAGGGATCAGCAAAGGGGAATCACAAGCATACAGTATTCTTCCGCCGAAGATATCTTCCTTAGGCTGGCCCAATTTCTCAGGTTAAAAAAAAGAATCAAATGTATAAAACCGAAACAAAGATTACTGCCGAAGAGGAATCTGTGACTGACGACTACTGTCAGATTTAACTACTTACACAGACATGATGATCATGATGATGATGATGATGATGTGTGGGTGTGTGTGCTTTTTTGTTTGTGTGTGTACTGTGTATGTGTATGCATGTGCATGCGAATTTAGGTCAACAAACCAGACACGAAATTAGGGCAACTGTCATAATCACTGAAAAAAAACAGAAGAAAGTGGAGGAGGAGAGGAGGACGAGAAGAAGAAGAAGAAGAAGAAGAAGAAGAAGAAGAAGAGAAGAAGAAGAAGAAGAAGAAGAAGAAGAAGAAGAAGAAGAAGAAGAAGAAGAAGAAGAAGAAGAAGAAGAAGAAGAAGAAGAAGAAGAAGAAGAAGAAGAAGAAGAAAGCCATTCGTATAGATAATCACATCAGCTGGGCGGGTATTGTCATGAATCATTTGTTGAGCCTCTGACTCTGCAGCATCAACTGGCCAGTCCAAACACTAATGACTTAAAGTGATAAGAACCCCTCACAAGCCTGAAGCTTGCTCGGACACTCTGACCCACTCTTCTCCTCCCAAAAACTCGTCAAGCAAGAACACATGTCTAATTGTGTTTTCGGCTTGCGCCATTCGAGACCCTCGGATTTTTAGTCTGTGGCCCCTTAGGTCTACCAAGGGCTTTATCTAGAAGGCGCTTCTTGTCTGCAGCAACGGGGAGAGTGGGAACAGGAGAAGATGAGAAAATGAGGAGGAGAAGAAGAAGAAGAAGAAGAAGAAGAAGAAGAAGAAGAAGAAGAAGAAGAAGAAGAAGAAGAAGAAGAAGAAGAAGAAGAAGAAGAAGAAGAAGAAGAAGAAGAAGAAGAAGAAGAAGAAGAAGAAGAGAAAGACGAAAAAAAAACTGTACCTGAGGACACACAAAAACCATATGACGACTAACGTACCATCCTGTGGTGAAGACCACTGTATTTCCAAATCCACAAGATCAGACAAAGGAATGTGCATGCCAGTTTGTAGCGCAGCCATGAAGCGAACATTTGGATAGTTTAAGGATTCCTTGATGACTTCCTTTGCTCCTATTATCTGGTGTATACATTTGAAATTATGAGTCAATCTTTGACCCCCTCACCCCCTCCCCCCAATTCCAAAATATTTTTTTTATTAATACCATGAATATTCCCATTCAGTGTGTCTCCAAATGTAAAATTGTGGTTAGTTCGACATTAGTCTCCCCATAGAGTAGCTCACTTTTCTTTTACAAGTTTGTTGGGCTGGTCGACTTTCCTGAAGGTTACGGGTGTGTCCAGCTCTCTTGTTTGGTTTCTGCGATGTCTTGCATTTACGTTTTTATTCCGAGAAAGAAAATGTCTGTGACATAGGTTTACAGCACTCTCTTGGAGAGCATGTGTTAGGCCCATTTCCTCCATGTTTTTGGTGTGTTAAAAGCGCTGCAGTGCTGAAACATACAACACACGATATCAGCGGCATTGTGGAACGCCCCCGTGGGCGAAGGTCACGGGGCTCAGAAACTACCAATCAGAAGTGAGCTAGTGTGTATATGGGCGGGGTCTGGGGAGACGAACGTCGAACTAAATAAAAATTTTTTTAAGGGGATTGCATAGACGCTTGTAGTGATGCAAATTGAGGAATAAAGTAAGAGTTTTGATTGGTTGTTCGTGTTTTTGTAACTCTTTAACATATGACGAGTCACTCTGCGAAGAGAAACTTCTTTACTGGATAATGATATTGACAATGCTAAATCTTGTTTTCTTTTTTCTTTTAAATAATTCTTCGCTCAGTTTTCCTTTACTCCTTTTGGTGTTGCAAGCTATGGGCACATCCAAACAACAACATGTATTTTGTGTGCCTTGCAGTTGGTCTGTTCACCTTTTTTATATGTACATGTTGCATTCTAGTCTCATCAATGAACCTCTTCTTTTAAAGTTTATGCTGAATTATTGTCTGTCACCTTTAAATTTCAGTATTTACCGAATTATCATCCCCCCCCCTACCCCCCAATTGTTCAAGCTAGAACAGCACTCAGACAGTACTCACATACCTCGTGCACCTTGAACTCCATATTGGACTGCCCGGAACAAATCCACACGTCACCGAAGATCACATCTTCAAGGATATGGGAGACTCCTTCAGCCTTTGCTCTGATTAACACAGACTCATTTGTTTTCATTGGCCTCAGTTTAACACTCCAATAGCCCAGTTTTGAGGCTGCCCCTTGTTTCACAATTGTTTCGTAGTGGTAAACTTTCTTGCTAGTAATTACCTGTAAGGAAACAAAGGCAAAGAAATAAAGAAGAAAACAAGTGAAAGCAAAGAACCTTTTTACACGTCTTCGGTCGTTTGGGAATTGAGTGCTAAACTTATATTTTTTAGACCAGTCGGCACTGGAATATGTCAAAATCATGCCGCCCACCTTTACTTCCCAGGACTTTATTCAGTGCCCATTTAATGCAGGGTCGATCTAATGAAAAAAAGTCCCGCTCCGTTTGAATTTGAACCCACGATCTTTGGTTCCACAGGCAAGCGTCTAACTGCTATTCCACGGTGGCTCCTAAGAGAAAAAATGGTAAACATTAAATGGGATGTATTCAAGAAAGGCGAGGGGTAAAACAAGAGAACTCACAGGGCAACCAGTGAAAAACAGCAGCTATCAGAAACAGATGATGGGATTTGTCTGGCATATCGTGAGATGAAGCTGTCAGAGAACCAATAAGCAGGTAATGAAATTTTAAAGCAAAAGAATGCAAACAAATGAACTGAGTGAATGAAAGAGCTTTATTTCAGAGAATTCAGAACTGGGCATGCAGGCTCGTGTAACATTCTGCCTTTCTAGAGTCTCCCTCCTTTTATACATCATTGAATTTATTTATGAAGTAATAGGAAACTTAATAAACGTTATTTAAAGCGGCTAAAAAATAAATGCAGGTGTCGGAATGTGTACATTTTTAACTACAGTAAACTCTAGTATTTGTAACAAAACTAGGGAAAATATGGGAAATATGGGAAAATATGTCATCCTCCATAAGGTTTTTTTTTTTATTTGTGGAAGATGATTCAAAAATTGAAATGCACTGTACGCTAAGAACATCAGCCAGCCCAAGATAAAACATGAGACGAGGGTTGACGAGATGAGACAAAGGTGCTGCCATTCATACCATACATGATTGTGAAATGATTGCACAGAATGGCAAGGAACAAAGCAATAGGCTGTCAGACCAGCGTGACGTATTAGTGATACAAGAAGGTGATGATGAAAGTAAAGCATGGGAATCGGGTTAACGCCGTGGCCATATGCCTCCCTACGGATCTTGGTTCCAATTCGCTGTCAATAAGGAAACCACACGGGAGGTTAAGCGACAGACGTGATGTTGACCTATCGCTCATTGAGTGTCATTTAGTCCATAAAAGCATGGGTCTAGCATAAGTCCCGAGCTCAGTGATGTAGTTTCTTGATTGATTGATTCATTCATTAACTCATACTTGATACCAGATGACCCCAAAGATTGTCATCCCAAGAAAAGAATGAACCATGACATTCCTCAAACTGGTCTTGTCTGTTCTTTTAAGTAGATCTGGTGAATACACTAACTGCTTCCGCCCCCCCCTACCCTTCACACTAAAGTTGCCCCGGAACCCATACGAAGATTTCAGACACAGCAAAATACTGTTTCCTTTAACAAGAATGAGATCACTGTATAGCATTTACCTCTAAAGCAATTGTTGCTCCGATATCTGAAGAAAATCCATAGATATTTGCTCTTTGTGGTGCTTGCTGTAGGACCATTCGGCTTTGGAAATGCTTGGCGAAGGAAAAGTTTACTGCTTTACCTGTTGAAGTTTTTCAGCTAGGAATAACTCTTGAGACAAATAAAGTACACTCCCATCCTCCCACCCTTTTTTAAGACCCATTGGCACTCCATAGTTTGAAGTGTGTTTTTGTCTTATCGGCTGCCTTTACTTCTCAAAACTATTTCTTTTTACTCACTGGAGGCTGGGAGATATGTGGGGGAAAAACACACAGGATGTAAACCAAAGACTATCGGATTGACAGGCAAGAGCCAAGGGTCTAGTGACTGAGCAACTTGGCTCTTTTTCTTGTGCACTTAAAGTAAATTTAGCAAAAATACACCGTCTTTTAGTCTGCACTTGTGTATTTCTAGCCAGCAGTTTTACACGTATCTATAATGCGGCATAGAAATAACAGCCCAACACGACGTCCATTGGGACAAACAAGACAGCATCTCTTTATGAACATTCTTAAACAATAATGGCTGGGGATTTCAGGACCACTGATGCCAGTGCAATAGTTTCGTATCGATGCCAGGACTGAAGCCATTCGTTCAAATGATTCAAGAGCGCAGTTAAGATGGTTTAACCATCTGATGAACATGGCCTTGAGAGCCCAAACTTATCTGAAGTAACTGCCGGAAATAACATGTTATGAAATCGAAACAATTTAAGGGACGAGTAAGATAAACTGAGGTGGAATGAGTAAATGCAAACAGAAGGAACCATGGGTCCTGGAAACTGGAATCTTAGACCCTTTGGGGGAAATTGAAGGGGGGGGGGGGGGGGGCGGCAATTGGAAAAATAGTCAGTCATGACCTAGTGATGATTATAGCGATTTTCTTGGTATGCATCTAGCAGAAACAAGTCTGTAGGCGAGACGTAATGTCAATAATGTGTTGAGTTGTATATTTCATGTGCACACTATAAACGCAAGTTACTGATGCGTGAACAAAAAACAAAGGGGGGAACAAGAGCCTCTTTTTGCTGTAATCCTTGATAATGGACAGGATTTGAATCTGCCAGAGGGGGTAACATAAATAAAGAAACCTGTCTTATTGATTACCTGGTGCCCAGGGGGAATTCGTCTAATCTTCAGCTCTGAACCAAATCTATCTGGTAGACGTCATTATGGATAGAAAAGTCTGTCAATTCCACCCCCCCCCCCCCCCCCCCCCCCCCAGCGAGTAATTTTTAGGTTACCCCTTTGAAATAAAGTTTACTGATTTTACAGCAGTGAAACTTGGCCCGATTACTTGGACCAAGAGAAACGGCTGAAAGCCTTCATATGCGAAGAAAACCTGGTATTAGTTGCCAAAAACGACTGAGATATTAGGACGAGTTTGTTTGTTTTAGTATTCAGAAGCCATGAGTTGTTAACCCTTAGGCTCGGTATTATGGATATCGCAACCTTTCGGCCTTGATTCCATTGTAAATACCGTAAATATGTGAGAAAATGTGGCTTTCCTGCCTACCCGGACCACAAGGAGTTCGTCACCCGGTCTCCGCGCAATCCGGCTTAGCCAACTACGCTAGAGAGCCGGGCATTAGGACGAGTAGGTATTACGACCAAGAACTTTCTCAGGCATCGACGAACGAACGAAAAGAAAAAACAAAGTAACGTTATTTTCACAATGTGAAGAATTAGGCATGTAGGCCGTCTAACATTTTTTCCGTCTAATCTCCCTCCTTTCATACATCATTTCATTCATATATCTGTTAACAAGTCATAGTAAACATCTATCAACTCTTTGAGGAACCGCGGCTCCTTTTCTTGCGTACTTAAAGTAAATTTAGCTCAAATCAGGCTCAGCCGGGAACCTGATAGAGCAGAACCCCAGTATCCAGTGATCGCACTACTGGCTCTATCTAGCACAGCAACAGACACACGGAAAACCACGCACTGCAGCCAACAAGCAGAAACAGCAAAACCCTACTTAGACAGGAAAAGAAGACCAAACCCCACCAGGACCAACAAGACCACACCAGATATGAAAGACCAAGAAAGGGACAAATCAGGTGTAACTGCACACTACAATCAATAGGAATACACATAACACCATTTAATAATAATAATAATAAATAATAATAATAATAATAATAATAATAATAATAATAATAATAATAATAATAATAATAATAGGTTTGAAGTTTCAGGTTTGAACAAGGTATCAAAATCATGGCACACGGGTAGTAACCAATAAGTGCTCCGTTTTTCTTCTAACTCAAGTCTGAGTCCGAATAAGATCAGCACATTGCAAAGGCTCTGTAGCACCAGCGAAGATCCTGAAATACTTCAAGTGGATTTTTAATTCCAAACTTTGCCCGGGCAGCGCCGTTAGGCTACTCTTTTTGATTTTCAACTGCCAATTGATTTTTTACGTGTTAACAATGCACACGGGCGTCCGATCTCACTACCTAGACAAGGGGGGGGGGGGGGGGGGGGGGGGGAGGGGGGATTACTAGAAGTCCAAGTCCAAGTCAAAAAAATCCCAGCCTTTACCTCTAGCATTTGAGGCAGACACCATGCTTTGAGACCACGCAGCCTCCTTAATAATAATAATATTAATAAACCTCCACAGTATAACAGGGCGTTAAGGTAGTTGAACGAGGAGCAAGTTTTGAATTTGTGTTTTCTGCTAATCGAATCGAATCGAAGTGTACTATGAATAATTATTAACTTTCTGTATTTCAAGTCAAAAGTGTTACATTTGTCCAGAGATCTTACTTGAGAACGGGGAAATATAGATAATAGCCACTACCCTAGAAAGCTCACCTTTGAAGTCCACAGAAAAATGTGTGACGACATTACTACTAGCCATCACAGCATAGTATGCGGCAAAAATTAGGGCAAATATCACTGCCAAGAGTAGGATCACTATGCCCATCTTCCATATGGAATGACGATTCCAGCCTGTGTCAAATAAAATACACGGAAATATATTAATATTTTACGGAAGCATATTAATATTATTGCCTAAAATATTTTAATATGTTTTCGTAAAATATTATTGTGCAGGAAAGAGGGAATTAAAAGGGAATTAAATGGAATGGTATGATATAATCACTAATGTAGAGCTTTGGGAGAGAACTAAGCAAGCTGCAGTGGACCAAGAGGTAAAGAAAAGATGCTGGCGTTGGATAGGACAAACAGTGAGAAAACCGGAGAACAATATAACTTTAATGTCTTTGCATTGGAACCCACAGTGGCATAGAAATAAAAAAAAAAGCCAAAAAACACATGGAGAAAGGAGCTGGAGAATGAAATTAGAAAGACGGAGGACAAGGGGGAAGCTGTATGCGAAAGCAAAAGATAGAAAGACGACGTGAGTTAGCTTAGGGCCTATGCTAGAAAGGCAGAAAAAGAAGAGAAGTAAAAAATTAATATTTTACGGAAACATATTACTATTTTCTTCTCTTCTTTTTTCTGTCTTTTTAGCCCCCAATGGTGCATAGGCCCTCAACTAACTGAAATAGATAAATATTGACATTGAAACTGATAGATACATACTCACTCTGCAACATGACAATTAACACTGAAATAGGTACAAATTAACATTGTACAAAATAAATATTGACACTTAAGAGGTACAGTTTAACAATGACAGAGATAAATATTATCACTGAAACAGATACACATTAACGGTCAAATAGATAAACAATAATATTAGAATAAATAAAGGAGGGATGTTGGACTGTCGGCATATATACTGACATCACTACAACAAATATATTAGACTGACGGGTAATAAAGCACAAGAAAGAAACGATACCTTAGATATATTTTATGTATTGCAACAGGGAGGACATAGATTCAAGTGTAAAGATATCTAAAGATAATTACAGCACAGCTTAGAGATAGACAGACTGCGACACAAGAGAAGATATTAAAATACAATTAGAGGACAGTGGTCAGACATACGTTGATACACATGATAAGACACTTAGAGATAATTATTATTTTGAAAATACACAGCATATTGAACAGTCAGACAGACAGACAAACAGTGACTCAAAAGAGAATTGGTGATATGTAATTCCCTAAACTACAACAGGACATTGAACAGACAGAAACACTGGCACACGAGAACACACATACACACACACACACACACACACACACACACACACATACACAGAGAGAGGTAGGCAGAAAGTGATACAATGGAAAAGGTATGAGACAAGTGACTTAGTCTCATACAAATACACGCACAGACAACGATGCAAGAGAATATATATATATATATAACTACACTACAGCAGGATATTTGGTAGACAGTCACTTACTCTCATACAAACACACGCACAGACAGACAGCGATACAAGAGACAAGATATCTGGATACAATTTATTACACCACCCAAGGACGGTGGACAGACAGAAAATTATAGAGATCGCTGAAAGATAGAAAATATTTAAATGTAAATAATAATTGGACAGGCAAGCAAACAGTGATACAAGAGATGAACATGTTAATATCTTCACCTTCTTCTTCTTCGCGGTCAGCGGCTGTAAATTCCGGCCAAATGTTCTAGTTATTTACTTCTGGACTTTAGTCTTGTTACAGAATCTGCGGTTTGCGTTCACATCCGTTTTACAGACTTGGCTTATATGTTTGCCGACTTTTTTTTTTTTTCCGTCTCAGGCAGATGCACTCCGACTTCAAAAGAAACATCTATAATTAGTTGACTCTTACAACATGCTTATTAGGAGAGTGGTCCTTCACCCCCCCCCCCACTTTATTTTTCTCCCCCACACACAATGGGGACTGCAACCCCACAGGGGAGACTTGTTTATATAATTACCCGCCATGTGTCCACGCCAACTTGTAGAACTAGTCGCTAAAAGTGCTGGAGATCCCACTGTAGCCATTCCTCAACGTGCAGACGGCATCTGAATCAACATTATGCATAATACATGTTGTAAAAGCAACTGGGGAACTAGCTAGTTACGGCAGTTACGCCATGACATCTGCAAATGACGTGGTACACAAACTGTTGCAATGCTAACTGTGTCCCTCAAGTTAACGTATTTTCTATTCACATATCACTGAATTTTATTGTATGTATTCTTGTTATTTGTCCGCATCTACATCCTCGCACCTTGGTCCGTGACATTCATACTCCTTCTTCTTCTTCTTCTGCGTTCGACATCAGTCATGCTACACATTGAGTCCCGTCTGGGTCAAAAATAGGATTGTGCGTTTAAGGTCGCCACCGGTCCCCCATAGCTTCTCTCGCAATGTGGATCCCCTGGGCCAGATCCACAGTCTTTGCTGGGAGAGGTAAGGGCAGTACTGCAGTATGTGCTCAGGGGTCTGTCTTTCTGCTCCACAATCAGAGGCAGCAGATTCTTTTATGCCTATCCTGTACAGGTGTGCTCGAAGACCACAGTGTCCAGTCCTAAGTCTAAAAATAGATGTTTGTTCTTTCCTGTTGAGTTTGTTTATGCTGTCACTCTCTATTCTGCTTTCTCCACTCCCGCTTGAAAGACTGCTTTAGTGCTATTGGTTTCCTTGTAGCTGTGTGGTGGATGAGGTTGTGGAAGATTACTCCCAGCTTATGCCAACTCATCTGCTCTCTCATTTCCTTGAATACCACAGTGGGCTGGTATCCACCGCATGACCAGTTCTGCTTCCTTGGAGAGTAAGCCAATGTTGGTCTTTAGATCTGCAATTAGTTTGTCTTGTTTTTTGCTTGATAGTGCTTGGAGAACAGACAATGAGTCACTAGGTATAACAATTTTGTGCCCTTTGTGTTCTTGAGTGATGAGTTGTTGGACTGCAGAAAGGAGGGCAGTTGCCTCAGCTCTGAAATTAGTGCAGATGTCACCTGCTGGTAGAGAGAGAGAGTTTCTGCTCTACTGCTAGGGTGTTTAATGTATATTCCACAACCCCCTTTCTGACTGCATCTATAGCAGAGCCGTCGGTGAAAACCTGAGTCCAAGTGTCATACTCCGTCTTCCAATGCAGCAACCGTCTCAGTGTCTGCATGCTCCACGCACCCAGTATCAGTTGAGTTGAGATGAGTCGGGTCAAGAATTGACATCACAGTACTCCGTACATTTCCATGCATGCTCCGTCCTCATCTTCAGCAGCCAGCGCAGTAGGGGTTGACTTCCACATCTTCTTTCTTTACCCAGCAATCAGTTTCTAATAGGGCTGTACCGAATAGTGATTTTCACTATTCGGCCGAATACGAATAGCTGGACCAACTATTCGGCCGAATACGAATACGAATAGTAAATCATTATCATCAGGTGTTTTGCCGACTGGCATGGGCGAGTATGCCTTGCCACAATCTGCTAACTCCTGCAGCATGTATCAGTTCGTGTGCTGACACACCTCCATGCCATGCAACAAGACTGTCAAGAATCTTCTCTTGTTGTCTTACTCTATCCCTCCTTCTACAGATCTTTCCAGTGGTCACCACGTGTTCCATTTTCACTCATCCTATAACATGGCCGAAAAATGATGACTGTCTCCTTCTGATGTCTGTGAGTAGTTGTCTTCAGGCTCCCGCCTCTTTTAAAACCTATTGGTTGCTTTTTTCTGGCTGTCCAAGGTATTTTAATCATTGTTCTGTAAAACCATATCTATAAGGCCTCAAGAAATTGTTTGGCCTGCCTACCGATTGTCCAGGACTCACAGCCATATGTTAAAACTTGATGTATGTAGCAAGCAAGAAAGCATAGCTTAAAAAAAAAAAACACACAATCATTCCATGTTGTCAGTATTAAGGCAGCTTCTTGTCTCACTGAAGGTATTTCCAGCTGTGCTAAACAGACGTTCACTTGGTACGCTCGTAGGTGGTGCACAAAGTAACGTTTGACAGTATGAACCAAGGTGGAAAATCTTGATATGTTCATTTTACACCAGTCCAGAAACGGGTGTAAGGTAACCACTATTCGTATTCGGCCCCGACCGCAACTATTCGGCCGAATACTGAATAGTTATTAGGTCCACTATTCGGCCCCGAAGCGAATTTGAAGCGAATATTCGGTACAGCCCTAGTTTCTACCTGTTTGTCCTCGATTAATTCCCATTTCCAGCAGGTGGTGTATGATTTATTTATGTTTCTGACTGCTTTGTCCCAAAGTTGCTAGAAAACAAAGCATTCATAATGTGTGCCATGTCTATACTTCTTCCTGCACCAAACACTGCAGAACTTCTGTCGGTTATGTTTCATGTCTTTTCAACCGGCCGGTCTGTATAGACAGGTTTCTTGAGGGCTTTTAGAAACTGTCAACCCATTCTAGTTGGAGTTTGCCAGTTTGGAACTTTTTAAGCATGCGGAAAGAGTCTGCTACTAACAATGCGTCAACTGCTTTCTGTTTTGCCAGCCAGGCATCCCTTGTTATGCTAGAAGTATGATATACTAGCTTTTTGTCACGTCTTATCATAGAAAAGTAAAGCACTCTTTCTCGCGTCTTTTAGGCGTATTGGGTATATAGGGCTAGACCTTTTTTTTTAATAGACCAAACGGCACTTAGTGGGTGATGTGGTTAGCATCACACCAGCTGTCTTTACTTCCCAGGACTCTACCTGGTACCCACTCAAGGTTTGGTTGACCTGGGAACCGAGGTCATTTTTGAAAACAATTTAGCCTCGTCAGGAACCGAACCCACGAACTTCCGATCCGCAGCAGAACTTCTTATCATGCTTTATAGACACACGCACACACACACACACATATATATTACATATATATATATATATATATTTGCTAGTTACAGTGAGAGAATGCAACCCTATCGCACTCTCTCTAAGTGTGTGCACCTAGGACCAGTTTAATGTGTCTCCAGCGACTCTGACAGCTGCTAGTTGTTCTTGATAGTATCATTCAGTGTGTCCACTGTAACCACTGTTAATAAAATATTACTCTGACTGTCTGGGAATCAGATTTGCTTCAAGTATGAAGATCGACGCTGCAGCCTGCATTTTCCCGAAAATGTTTCTTACATTAAAATATGGCGTCTAGTCCCTCTGTCCTGTCTGAAACCGATTGCGTGTCGTGTAGTCATACTCACATTTCCGTCTAATTCACTTCATGATATTACCGATGCGACAGAAGCATTTCTCGAATTCGTACAATTTAATGTTTCTCTTTTTTTTTTTTTTTTCTATTTGCGTTTGTTTAACTTTTATTCCTTTCAATGTCACTGGCATATGTTAATATTGCAAAAACGCTAGAATAAAAAGCAAATGTAATTTGATTTGATACTCTACACCGTTTAGATTTACTTTTTTTTAAATGTGTGTTAATGCTTTTAAAGCTGCTGTTGTCTTGTCAGTTCGTCTTGTTATTTATTTATGTTTCCCTGGCAATACGAATTGCCACCTAAACTGATGTTACTCTCAAAAGAGAGTGTGTAAATCTCCCACACCCACCTCTCACTTTATAATAATAATAATAGTAATAATAATAATAATAATAATAATAATAATAATAATAATAATAATAATAATTATAATAACAATAATAATAATGAGACGGAGCCTACACGTTTATCAAGTGCATTCTTCTTCTTCTTCTTCTTGTTCGCCGGCTGTGAATTCCGGCGGTAAGTCGCGGTTGTTCGTCCGAAATGGACTTTTGGCTTTTACCTTGACCTTAGTTTTGCGTGTACATCCGTTTTACTGGCTTATTTATTCAAAAAGTCGAGAGGTTCCATAAACCACTTCACGGCAAAGCTGGCCGTTACCTTTACTGAAAATAATGTTTTCCTCGAAAGAGCAAGTTCGGATATTAAACAATTTAAAAAAAAGTGTTTGAACGACAGGCGTATAGGGCAAATAGGGCTAGACATATATTTTTATAGACTAATCGGCACAAGATGGGTGATGTGGTCAGCATCACGCTGGCCACCTTTACTTCCCGGGACTGCACCCGGTACCCACTCAAGGCTGGGTCGACCTGGGAGCCAAGGTGAGCACTACTGTGTAGACAGTGAAACCTTGTACAGAAGGATAGTAGTGTCTGACTGAAATCACTCAACCAGTTTAGTTAAAGAGTAACAGATGAGATGAATTGGCCATCTCACGAGAATGCCCTCAGATACTACACAGCCATGCTAAAGAAATATAATGGACACAGAGCAGGGGAAAGACCACGCCAAATATGGAACGAGTGCATCAATAACAGCCTTCAAGAAATGAAGACCAGCTTATACAACGCACTGGAAAGAACACTCCGAAGACCAAGACATCCCCCTTCTTCAACACTTCGATGAAGTAGCTGAATGAAGCGAAAAAGAAGAAGATTTGTTCACTTGAACAGAAAACCGTCATCTATAATAAGCTCTAAGGTCTGATTTAGTGCATACAATAATATAACACTGATCTATTTACAGGTAAACACTGTAGATGTGCCCTTTACTCACTTCTTTTTCTTCGTTTTGGGCATATGTTGGTGTCTGTACATGTAATGGTATATGTGTGTATGCATGGGTGCATGTATAGATGTGTATATATGGAATGCGTGTGTGCATGTATATCCATAAATGTATGTGTGTGTGTTTTCTGTTTGTGCATTTATTTCTGTGTATGTGTATGCTTGTATATGTATGTAGATGCAGATGTGTATGTATCACGTATGTCTGTATATGAGTTCACCAGTATGAAAATGTAGATGTATGTATACGTGTGTGTGAGTGTGTATGATGGCGTACACACGATGTGTGAATGCATTATATATTTCTTCTAAAATCCATAACATGCATTATTGATAACAGGTATTAGTACTCTGAAAAATGAGTACTTAGAAGGGCCGAATGTCAGACGGGCCTGCGTGCCCAATTTGTAACCCTTTGAAAATAAAGTTTGTTCGTTCGTTCGTTCGTTCGTTCGTTCTTTGCATGGTCTTAAACCCTGCATCTCAGCTGCTTGTACATATTTCTTCTCTTATCTGCTTATACTCCATGTTTCACAATCGCAAAGATTCTGTTCGGTGACACATTTTTCTCACTGCACATTGAAAGATTTTTAGTTCTGGGAATTGGCAATGCATTAGGAAGAAGATTTATTTACAACTTATGGGGAAAAAAACGTGTTTTCAGGTGTGTGTGTTTTTTTTTTTTTTTTTTAACTATATTTCAACCAATTTAGTGCTACAAACGTTTGAGTTCTTCTCCGCTGTTTTAAGATGCGCTGTGTCCATTAACTATTAACACTTGGCCCACACATTTGATCTCAGTGTGTTAACATATAATACGACGAAATTTAACTATATAAATCTTCAATGGAGGTATTTTGCTCCAAAAGTGAAACTTATAGAGGGTGATAAATGCAAAAGACTTTAAAATAAAAAACCTGCACGAACGACAAAACTTCAGTGATTATAAATCTACTACTACTACTACTACTACTACTACTACTACTACTACTACTACTACTACTACTACTACTACTACTACTACTAATACTATTACTACTACTGCTGCTGCTTCTTCAGCTGCAACCACTACTACTACTGCACCTTTCCGTCTTTCCAGACGAAAGTGTTATACTGCGTTATGAGGAGGCATGAGACTCACAGACCATGGCGATGACGAGTGTGACTAGCAAGACCCGCCCTGTCAAATAAACTCTTACACTACTACTACTACTACTACTACTACTACTACTACTACTACTACTACTACTACTACTACTACTACTACTACTACTACTACTACTACTACTTTTACTACCCTAAAAAAGAAGAAGAGAACAGCAGCAGCAACAACTACAACAACAAAAACAACAACACTAACACTTACAAGATAAAGAACAAAAGAGACAATAAAAATCATTGTGTATTTTGTAATTAGTCCATGGAAAACAGTGATGTATACTTTTAATAACATTCTCACATTTACAATCATACTATTCAATGCTTCACACACACACACACACACACACACACACACACACACACACACACGTGCGCGCGCGTACACACGTGCCACCTTTTAACTAAATCCTTCATCAAATTAATCTTGGATATATAATTTTATTAAAGTCGCACACAAGGATTCGCTAATGAGATCACAAATGTAATACGCATCTTTAAAACTATCATTACCATCATCACCCTTGTATCATGATCAATATTAGCCACTATTATCAATAACTGCCCCAACCTGGATGACAGGTCAGTCCACTGTTTTTGTGTGTGTGTTTTATGCATACCCCCTATCGCCATCCCATCACCCCATTCCACAACTGCAACTTGCAAGGCTGACATCCAAAGACTCGGTCATTCTGTGCAATTCCAATAGAAGCAAATATCAGACTACCCCCAAAGCACTTTCACTCATTGTTTTCATGTTTATGTAGACCAGGTGGTACAAGGTGGGTGATCTGATTAACATCACCAGGCCGCCTTTACTTCCTATGGCATTTCTTGTTTTAACTTATATGCTGGGTTGACTGGGGAGCCGAGGTTCATTTCGAAAAAAAAAAATTATTCCACTCAGTTCAGATTTGAACCTCAGATTTTCAGCGCTGTCATAGCTTACCAAGTGGTATAGAAAAAAATGTAAATGTATCTTCTTTTTCTTCAACACTCCGAACCCTTGAGGTTCATTGCTGTAGATATCAACTGCCTTCATTCATCTCTCTAGCTGGCTTTATCTTTCAAGTTGGTGAAACCAAGTGTTTGTAGGCCTGTCTGGATATTATCTCTTCATACTTTTCTTGGCCTGCCTCGTGGTCTTTGGGCATTGAGTTCCCTTGTGTATGCAGATTTTACCTCTCTGTCATGCCAGCGATTAATGGTGATTTAAATAGATTACGACTATCGCTATTAATTCTCACTCTCTATCCCCCAGCTGTTTGCATCTTTAATAAGTCCACAGATTCGCCGTAATACTCTGTTATCGTATTTAAAAAAAAGCTTTATCTCTTTTAGCTGTGCACCAAGTTTCAGAGACATATAAAACAACTTATCTTATCAAGAGTCAGTAATAATCTTTTTTTTTAGGGGAGGGGGCAGGGGGGGGGGGAGAATTGGTTGTACTATGAGAAGAAGGGATCTGGAACATGCTGTAAACACCGAACAGATTTGTGAGAAAGAGAGAGAGAGAGAGAGAGAGAGAGAGAGAGAGAGAGAGAGAGAGAGAGAGAGAGAGAGAGAGAGAGAGAGAGAGAGAGGAAGAAGACAATACAAGATGATTCTCAAGAATCTTTTGTCATGGCACGGAGGGTTGTCAACACATTAACTGATACATGCTGTTGAAGATGGCAGCTTGTGGAGTGACACGGTAGCCAAAGCCATGATGGTGATGATGTGTTGGAAGTCAACGTATTCAAATAACTATGAAGTCTAGAAGGTCACATGTAATTAAATCTCAGCACATCTGTATATAAAGTTACTATTATTCTATGATGGTCAATCAATCTTGTTAAGCTTGCTACTACACGGCAGAAAAGTAAAACACAGTGCAGTGAAGATAAATCGTCAACTAAAACTAAGACTAAGTAAAACACAAACGAAGGTCCAAGCAATTCACTGAGGTCTCATAAACTGCCCATTTCTTGATTTCACACGGCTACTCTCTCCATGTAATTCTGCAATGTATTGTCCAGATGTGCACGTTATTCTTAGTGTTAATGATGTCTGATTGTTGGAGACAATTTATGTTGGATTCCACGTTCTTTCTGAGCCATGCACACACAGTAGCTGTTGAATAACAGTGATTATATACTTAGAATGTAAACTTACATTTGCTTTCATTTGATTTCTAGAATGACATCATAACACTAAGTATATATGTTAATTTTCTGTCTGCCACAGCATACATCATTTGCTATTTGTTCCACATCTCATATTGTGGGTGGAACTTGAAGCCCCTATTAAACATATATTCTCACCTCGGTGAAGATTCAAAGAGCTCACCATCTATGCATTTAACAAATGCAATACTGTGATTATCTCTGTCTTGTCAAATATCTTGTTTTGTCCGTTTGACTGACTGTTTATACGCGTTTATACGCAGACCAGGGAATCGTTAAGCACAAAATAAAAACTAGTATTTGAAAAACAAGACCTGCAACAGTATAAAAGATAACAATTCTTTTAAAGTTAGTCTCTGAATGTGCATCTCACCTCAAAGCCATCTTGCGATCGAATCGTTAACTGGTAATATTATCGTCGGCTGAAATGTTCAACAAAAATGGTGGACCAGGCAGTTCATTTGTAGTTTCATAAATGGCACATTTCTTGAAGTCACACGGCGTTTCCTTCCAGGCATATCGTACACTGGTAACCTGTTGTCCTGCACTGCACGTCAGCCCCAGGATTACCGAAGTCTGATTGTTCGAGACAATTTGTGTTTTTGTCCATGTGCTTCTTGTACCTCTGACACACAAAAGCTGTTGGAAATAACAAAGAAAAACTTAGAGTGTATTTGTTCTCAGCACAATAACAATAGTTAAAATATAATAAGCAAAGCACCCTTTCACCTTGTTAGCGTTACTGGCGTGTTATGCCAGGCTATTCTGTTTAAAGATCAATGTAAACTCGACTTGATGAGCATCATGTTGCCCGCTTGTGTTTGCCCGGACATCTCCTGGTACAGTGTTTCCCAAACTGTTCTTATTCGCGGCACTTTTTGTTAGTTACAAATTTTCCACAGCGTCTAACCTAAGTAAAAGCAACTATTCCTATGTAAGAGATCTCGTGTATCTTCGAATATTTCGCGGTGCCACTGTGAAGAGGTCGCGGCTTCCCGATATAATCTATCATGTCTGCTATCAAATGTCTGTTTCGTTCTTCTTCTTCTTTTCTTCTCTCACTGACAGAGGTTGTAGCCAAGTGTCGTGATTGTATGTATTTCTCTTGCGCTTCTTGGCTAGCTTGGGTGATGTTCAACCTTTTTTTCTTCTTTTTCTTTCAGGTTTCGGTTAAACCTTTTATCTATATTTTTCTTGGTCTTCCTCTCGCCTTCCTCCCAGATGTTCTGAAGTAAAAAATCTCTTATTAACTGCTGATTATTTCCGTTGAGATAGTCTTTTATGTCTTGAAGACAAATCTCGATTTTCGTGTCCTGTTTATACCTTACTTCTATTCAGATGTTCCTGCTATCAGGCAGTGCGATTTGGTACATCCTCCAACGACGTGCTCAGAAATGTGATTTGTGAACTGACGCTTTTAGCTGTTTCCGTGACTCTACTTCTTTTACTGATGTTAGCAGATAGTAGTCTCCGTGACTGCACTTTTTTTCATTGACGCTAGCAGCTAGTTGTCTCCGTGACTCCACTTCTTTCACTGACGCGAGAAGCTAATTGTCTCCGTGACTCCACTTCTTTCACTGTCGCTAGTAGTTAGTTGTCTGCCTGATTCAACTTTTTTTTTTCAAAGAAGCTAGTAGTTAGTTGTCTGCATAACTGCACTTCTTTTACTGACGCTAGCACCTAGTTGTCTTCGTGACTCCATTTCTTTTACTGACGCTAGTACCTAGAGTTAGCGGAATTTCAGTCCAAGCCAGGATGAGGGTCAACGCGAGGGCCAATCCTACCACCCCCACCCACCCCCCCCCCCTTTCCCATGAGCTTCCTTAAGGCTGGGCAGATTACTAACAGTAAAGTTAACAAGGTCTCATACACTATATCAATACTTAACTGTGCTAGGGACTGGTTACTGGCTGTCGACCTGCCTGGTTTCGAAAAGTACCCCAGAGTCAATCCGAAAGGTTGGCCCGAGACCAGACATAGTCCTGCAATATGGGAAAATTCGCCAGCTCACTCTTGTAGAGCTGACTGGGCCGTATGAGTCGTGTATGGAACAAAAATTACCTGTACAAGCTCGAAAAGTACGGTGAACTCGTGGCCGGTTTGAGGAGAGACGAGACGTACACTATAAAAATCTTCACCGTCGAAGTACGCACAAAAGGACTCATCAGCACATCCACATGCAATATGCTAAAGCAGCTGGGCTTGCGAGGAAAAGAGAGTAAACGGTCCCTAAAACAACTGGGCAAAGCAGCTGAAAGGGCTTAGAGCTTGCTTTGGACACAAGGGAACGTCATGGGGGATGGGCCTCGGTAGACTGATCCGAGCCAGTAGTTGAAACAGGCTTGTCCTCCCTAATAGCCAAAGTGCACGACAAATGTCTGTCAATGTCTCTCTGCCAACTGCCAAAGTCTAACGTCTGTCTGATGAACCAACCGTAAGCTCTTCACTCTGGTAGCGAAGGTAGGCGGCTAATTTGCTACCGCGGCGACAAATCTAACACAAAATCTTACAATACCTGTTGCAATGTCACCATATCATCTTGTCCCTGTCTGAGAGTCCAATAAAGGGCAGTAAGGAAAGATCGTGGCCTGGAGTCGTGACCCAGGTCGGCCCACCTTCCGAGATTGTATAGGAGGTAATGGACCGAAACAATCGTCGACGAGTGATCTTTCTACTTATGAACCGTTGACCCCTGCTGTGCATGCTCCTGTGTGGAGTTGTTCTTTTTATAAAGTTGTCTCCGTGATTCCACTTCGTTCACATCTTCACTACGCTTTAACAAAACAACACACGCGCGCTCGCGCGCACACACACACACACACACACACACACACAAATGCTGTGTGAGATGCTCTCATCCTCTCTGTATGAAACGACATCTCTGCAGCCTCCAAAAAAAAAAAAAATTGCTCTAATCTACTGGCCGTTTGCTTGGAAAAAAAAAAAACATTAGTCAACCAGCTTCCTCGAAAGGGGAGCTTTAGGTTTTTGTTTTGTTTTTGCGCCATTTAAAATGGCATTGCACGCCAGCAAGCAGCACTGAAAATGCTTCATGCAGGTTGATGCAGTCAAAGGAGACAGACCCAAATACTGTCACGACAGGCGACGAAGTCGTCTACCAGCCAGCCAATGGGCGACCCAGACGCCGATATATCTACTGGAGTCGGTTAGTCACATTTTAATGGGGTCTTTTAAAACGGGGACCCACTTCTCTGTCTCTGTGGCGAAGTAGTCAAGCCGTTTGCCTCGCGCTCTGAAAGTCGTGAGCTCGTTTCATGGCTTTGCCGTTCGGTTCACGAGTAAAATTTTTACGGAGATACCTGTGGGTCTTCACCGGAGTTGCGGAGTTCGTGCTTTGTGCGACACCTCTGCTAGCCGTTCTGCGGAGAGGGACCAAGCCTAACGGGAAAAAAACCGTGTACAATTAAGTCTATCCTCTCTACTTTAACCTGTAACCTTTCACTTTTAAAATTGAAAACTGGTTCCACGATACACATGATAGGCCTGTTCTCACATCAGTTGGTAAATACATATCCAAATTGCCATATACCATGGTTTTTTGTACATACTATTATCTTACCCTACGACATGTTGCTATGTATTCGACAAGGGACATTTAGCAAGAAATTGCGCCCCTCCCCCTCCTCCCTCCTCACTTTACACCTTGCCCCTGACAGATTTTTGTGTGTGACCGTGAAGAATGTATGAAATTTATTCACTTACAATATAATTCTTTATGTGTTTTTTTTTAACCTAATAATTTTCAATCTAATCTCAGTCCACTTTTGTGACCTATTTGTCACTATTGTCTTATTTATCACTTTTTATTTTCGGCGTAGACAGGGAATGCGGGTGGAAGGGGCGGGGTAGTAAGCCTAAGGGTTTAGCGCCGCAAAGCTAGTGCTGTCTGTGCCCTTGAATTGTGAAGGTTTGAATGTTTTATTTTGTTACTAACAGAAAAACTCCACGACTTTTCCCGGAGTCGAACTCATGTCTCCCGCATTACAGCCTGGCGTTGTAACCGCTCGACCAGCCACTCCTCTTGAGCTCAACCTAATGCCAGTGTGAAACAGGCACATACGCTTTGCCTGCATCTGATTGTATCCTTATCACTTAGGCGCTGGTTCACAACATCACCTGGTCAGTCTCTCCTTTTTCTGAAGCTCTAACTCTCTGAACCAAGCGACCAACTATGTTCCTTTCAACTGCGAGATCATTCACAGCTCATAACTATTTATGAATGTTCACCATTGCTTTATTTTTTTTCCCCTGCAGCCAGCTATTATTTTCTGATTCGCTGTTGTAACGCACTTCATCCCCACAGTCTTTTTGAGCGAATTAGCACAGCTGTTCTGTTTGTTGGAATGAGTTATGAAAACATTTTATTCATACCATTTTGAATTTGAAGCGTGCAAAATTTCTTGTTCAGCTTCATTATTGAATGCGGAAAAATGTGGGAGCATTACTTTCTTAATGAGAAACATTGCTCCCTGACAAGCATATGGTACAAAATGACTAATTAGGAATGATTTCTTCGAAGTCGCAGTGCATCTGCCCTATAGGAGAGGAAACAACAGCCTGCATGAAAATAAGCCAGATCTGTGAAATAGGTATGAATACAACACTCAAGTTCTTATACAAGATCAAAGTCCAGAGGTGGACGAACAACTAGAACATTCCACTGAAGTTTACAGACGTTGAAAACTAAAAAGAATCAGAATATACTTGGATAGCATTTCTTCAGACTGAAGCTGTCTAGTACGAACTAAACAATGCATTATTTTACATTGAACATTCATACAACTAGGGACATTCATAAAACTAGGAACATTCATAAAACTAGGAACATTCATAAAACTAGGAAAATTCATAAAACTAGGAACACTCATAAAACTAGGAACATTCGTTTAACTAGGAACACTCATAAAGCTAGGAACATTGATAAAACTAGAAACATTGATAAAACTAGGCTACCTCAAAGCCATCTGGTGTTCGAACTGTAACGTTCCAGGTGTTGCCGTATGAAATGACAACCCCACTTGAGGTTACTTCTTGTCTCACGGGAAAGGGACCTTGATAAACTAGGTTGCGTCCATAGGCAACCGAAAGTCCACCCAAAGCCAGTCTGTCTGCTACTTCTTTCTTGTACTGGGGATGTATTCTGTAATATTTTGAAAGCATTATGATCACATTATTACATTGCTGGCGGTCATAATTACGAGCAATAAACTGTACAGAACTCCTTTATTTTTTATATTTTTTTTTGTCAGTGGAGTACTGCAAGTTTGACACTAGACTCATTTATTTATAGACTAAAAGGCGTTCAATGTATGAGGTGTTCACCGCCCTGGTGTACCCAATTATTTGCGAACTATGGCCAGAACTCTTTTATCTGTTACATGGGTGAACTCTCGCATACTTTTGTGTACACCCTTGTGAACTATTCATGGTCTACGGTGAATCTGGATATCCTATTTAAAATATGTCTAAGCAGGAAAATCCTACAATTTATGAACAGATTAAATCAGGCCGCCAAACTACTAAAGGTATTATTGCCTTTATCTGATTTTAACATATATCACTTTCATAACTGATAGTGGCAGATTTAATGAATTTGCTTAAGTGGATCCAAACTGGCAAACGATTGAAACTGGTTGGCAGCGTCCAGAATCCCGCATGAAGAAACAATCTTGGTTGTACTCACGCCAGGATAAATGGAAATGAAAGAACCGACAGATTGACCGTGTCTGTGGAGGGTCCTGGAGGAAGAAGTATGGGCAGGGCAGATATGCTGAATGTGCTGCGTTCTAGAGACTCTGAAAGAAAGGAATCAGAGATAACGAACCGCTTGTTGAAAATGGGTACCAGACGAGGACAATGATCTAGAAAATGGTAGTGGGGTAAAGAAAGAAAATATTCAAGTCCTCCTACTGGTTATGTTGAACATGCAGACACTGAGATGGCTGCTGCCATAGAAGATAGAGCATGAATGGGTTGGACAGACTGTTTGGATTTCGTTACGGACAAAAGTAAAAAGCAACTTATAGGACAACCCATCCGTATTTGACTTCATACTGCTTTGCAACTGTCAAAATGACCTGCGTAGAACGTCAGGTTACTCGTGGTTGGTATTGCCTTTATGGGTGTCGTAATTTTAACTCCTCTGGGGATTTGGGGGGGGGGGGGGGGGGTATCTGGTATCTACGAAGTTAGTGAGTCGACAGATTATCATCACTGCACATAAAACCATTCAGTTCATAAGTGCTCAGATCCGTCTACCAGTAAATTCCACAACTTGTAGTGGTTGACGATACCTGTCCTATCTTAAGTTTCTTGTTCTTCTTTGGGTTTTGCAAAGTGCTCTCATCTAGACACTAAGTGATCTTGCAGTCTGGTCATTGTTACAAATTCACAGTCATCTGGTTCTCGCAAACGTGTGACTTTTCGTAGAACATTGAATATATCACCATCGTTCATGGCACGTCCCACTGCCATGGAAACTTTTCCTGGCAACCTACCAGCTTGCTTATTTCCTTGCAGGCCTGTGTGCTCTGGCACGAATATTACACTGATATACGTCAGCCTGGACAACCTCAGAGACTCCAGCCACTGTCTCTATTTTCCTGTGCACACTCATTTAGTCACGAGGGGAAAAATGCGCGTGTAAATCATTGCGTCTCCAGCCTTATTGTTGCTTTGGTCACTGTCTTGACCTCCATTGTCAGGACTACTATATGTACTAATTTTTAGCTGGTAGACCAGACTGACATTAAATGTTACAGAAAAATTATCAGAATACAATGGATCAAGAAGAGGGCCGTATGATAACCAGGAAAAGATCGAAATGGCTTGGCCACGTTATAAAAATGAATCCTGATATACCTGCCAAAACAGCTCTCACATGGATACCAGAGGGAAAGAAAAAAAAAGGGGCGCCCCCTCCCATCCCCCCCCCCCCAAAAAAAAAAAAAAATATTGGAACGAACGATGGAAAGTGACCTGAGTGCGGCATATTTGACATGGAAAACTGCACTGAAGACTGCAAGGACAGGAATACATGGAAAGTCCTCTCTGAAGCCTCAAGTGCCACTAGGCATAAAGAGAACTGATATAAGAAAAGGAAAAACATCTACATTCTACACGAGTTAAAAATCAAGGAGAACTGGCTCATAAACAGCGCCCTGTCCCGAAAGTTAAAGTATTTTGGTCACATCAAAGGTCAGGCTGGATTGGAAAAAAACGATGACGGAGGGCGCTGCTTGTGGAAGGCGAGGCAGGGGTCGACCTCTGCGAAGATGGATGCAGGATACTGAAGATGCATTGGCATTTGAAAACACATGGGGCTGGACTGCTGGCTAGGGAAAGGGATACTTCAGGCGTGCCGTGACGTACTGTAAAGGACTAGCTGAATGATGATGAGTGCCAGATTGCGATTTTTAAATCTCAGGACTGTATGGTTAATTTTAAGATAGCAGTCTAGAGGGGACAATCTGATCTATCGATGTGTGACCGTCGCTTTGTCTAACATAAACGTGTTTTATTGTTGAACGGGGTTTTAGCTATTTGCTCCGGTTGGATTCTTGTCCGAATAGTGGCTCTTTGGGTTAGTGTATATAATATTTCAGAATTCAATCCTGCAGAAAAAATGTTAAAAAAAAAAAAAAAAATCACTTACGGGCCATAGGTGGAATTGAAATTTGGAAGGTCCATGGCGACCGCCATGAAGACATTGGGCATGTCGTTATTTGGCACGTAGCCTTGGTCGGCCGTCTGATGCCATCTGATATCGGGGAACCCCCTGGTTGTAGTTGAGTTAGGTCGATACCCAGCCAGCTGCAGAGAGATCACGCATTCCAGATTAGTGATTGAATATCCTACATCACGCATGTCAAACTTAGGGTCCTCCGAGAGCCACATTTTGTCATTATGAGACCCACACACAACTAACTGGAATTATTTATTGAACATTGCAGGATATTTTTTTTGTGTGCAGGCCGGGGGCTGCGTGGTCTCGAGGCATGGCGTCCGCCTCGAGTGCTGGATTATCCGGATTCATGCCCCGCTGAAGGTTGGGATTTTTTCACGTGGACTTCAAGTAATTTTCCCTTGACGTCCATGTGTATTGTTGCGCAAAAAAAAAAAAAAAAACACATTTGCAGTTGGAAATTGAATGGAGTAGCCTAACGGCACTGCCCTGGCAAATTTAAAGTTAAAAACCTACCCATGGTATTTGGGGATCTTCGCTGGTGCTATAGAGTTCGTGCACTGCGCTGAAATTCTTCGGACTTAGGCTTGAGTCAGAGGTGGAGCGGAGCATTTGTGGGTTACTCTCATTGTGCCATAATGTTGATCCCGAGGTTATAATCTTAACACGAGGCTATACTGTATGAGAAATGATGAAAATGACAGAAAGACAAATCACATGTCTTAGTGTGGACACTATTACTACTAGAGTAGGGGTCCTATTGGAGCAATGAACACGCACGCATGCACGCACACACACACACACACACAAACACACACACACAAAGACATACGGGACATTTATTTTACGACAATGATGAATTGG